TCTTGAGTTCAGCCCTTAAGTTTAGCACCTGGCTTTGCTGGAATGGAAGCAGGTTTTCTTGTTTACAAGAGCAGGTGGCAAGTTCATTCTTTCTAGCTGGGGGTGCATAGGAGAGGCTTGCTTGTTCTTTCTCTTAGTGTGCTCCTTTGTGGTATATGCAGTTTTACAGACCTCTTCTGTTTGTAAACAAACATGCACACATACACACACCTCTCTTCCCTTAAGTATTTGCATCCAAATGTAACTGCGTATTTATCAGTGCCTTTGTTACCTTTTTTAAATAAGAAGATTCTTCTTTGTTTTTTGTCTTTAAACTCTCTTCTTAGGATGCTGTGCAGATCTAAAAATTACACTTTCAGTATGCTGTGAAATTCTGAATAAACATAATTTTTGAAGCATTTACTGGCTATGAAGCATTCAAGGTTGAGCAATTCTAAGTTGTATTGGCAAAGTTGAGCATGGACTTAATTTCAAAAGACTTAACTTGAGCTGGAGTATGGCCTGAACAGTTTGTTCTTGGGATAAAAAAGACTGAAAATTCAAGATGTAACTCATAGATTGCCATGATTCTTTTCCATTGAATCTCTCCTTTCCCCTTAAATTAATCAACCATATAAGTACATTGAAAGCCCTCCTTAGGAAATGTTTTTCTTGTATATCCAGGTAGAGAAGTGACTCATCTATGAAGGTTTAAGTGACTTTCCTTTCTTCCTGGGAACAATCCATCAGATGCAATTTTCCGTGCTATTCTGTGTTATTAATAGTTTATCTGGAAGCTATTAATAATATGCCAATGGAGGCAATTTGTGTCTTTCTTTCTAGAAGAAGTCTTTCATAAGATAATGGAAAAATAAAGTGACATCTTTGAATTACACAGTCTTCCCACATAACGCCATTTTCTTGTCAAGGGGGCTTTATTTTGAGCTCCAAAGCTCTAATCTCAGATAATAAAATCACACTAGGGTTATCATTTTTAGTAGCAGATTACTTGGCTTAGGCAGTAATTCTTTTATAGCAGCCTCTCAAACTAAGTGCTGACTCAAACACGTGATTCCCTCTCCTCAGGCTCTCATCTTCCCCATTTGTGTGGAGGAGGTAGCATGTAACCGGCAGCACACATTCTCTGTTGCATGCAGGTTCTGTCATGCAGTTGATCAAGATGGCCAGTTTTTGAGCTGCTACCTGACTTGGCTACTCAGCCTGCAGAATTGAGTTTGTAGAATTCCAGAGTGTACAGTTCAGAATGCAGGTGGGAGATCATACTTGTAATGTTTTCCTCACATATAAGTTTACTTGCATGTCATAGCTTGAATCGAACAGCGATCATACTTTCTCTCTAAATGTACTGGCTTGATGCGAGGATATGGGTGGAGTCTTTACCTAAGGTGTAATGAACTTTGTCTTCTCGTTCTGCTTCAAAAGCAGTCTTGTGGAATCTGAAATTGGTTCTGGCAGAATCTTTTGTGGACTATGATGCTCAGAGTATTATGGAGAGTTGTAGGCTTTTTATTCAGTGCAGATGGTGGTGATGTGTGGGGACGAAGGAGAATGGTAAATAGTGAGATCAGAAGGAGATTCACTGCACTTCGGGTGACAATCACAGTATTAGTGGTGATCGTGTACGAGCTGCTGTTGACATTTTGTGTGCATCAACTCTCAGCAGCTTGGGTTATCTGGCACAGGGCATAATTTTCAGGAACATAATGCATCTGAGTAGATCTGGAAGGTCTGGCCAGTACCTGAATAGATCACCTGGGAGATCTCTCCTGCAGGGGAGAACTGCGCAGTAGAAAAAAAACCTAAGTCATAACCTGGTATGCATTTACCAGTTCTCTTCAGTGACCTGGCTGGACGCATTGTCTAGTCATATTGCTGATTGTAACATAATTGACTGCCAGCTTGAGTATCTATGCAAGAAGGTAATATTCACAGTCTTGAACACCACATTAAACCAAAATTAAAATATCTTGCACCCATATAAAACCAAGGTATTTAAAACATCAAAAATTTGCTTTTTGCCTACTATGCATGTTTTCAAAATGGTTGTAATTGCTTGGACTCCTATATTGTTTATAACCGTGCTTGCTTGTTGTTGTGTAATTCCGGATAAATCATCACCGTACAACCAAGGAGAAAGGGCACATTCATGTGGAGAACCTGAGAACCTTATTATTAACCCTCTGTAAATATCTGTATGGTTTCCCTCCAGGGCTTCTGGCTATGCTGATATCATCCCTTGGTAGAGCTCTTCCTTTACATAATAGGATCCATTGTACACCACAAATGCCAAAGGGCCAGACTTCATTAGGATGTGTTTACATTAAGTGATGCTTGGTGAGGGAATGGTTTTGCCGCCAGGAGCAGGAATGATACTGTGGTAGCTTGCCTGTGTTGCATAATTCTTTTGTCCAACATGATGGGGTACAAATCTGCTGGTGGGAGATACAGTGAGCTTCACAACATATTTATTTATTTATTTATTTATTTCATTTTTATACTGCCTGCTAGCCAAAGGCTTTCTGGGAGGTTAACAAAAATTAAAAATGTATAACAGGAAAAACAGTGGCACATATAAACAGTAAAACCACAGAGATAGAGGTACAGCAGCAGTGTAGAATAAAATAAGATTCATTTTGATGCAGTGGCTGCAACAATTTGCTGAGTTATTTTACTTAGGGTGGAAATTATTAGCATCTGAGAGTAGGTAGTGTGAAATCCTGGCTCTGAAGCAGGAAGCCCTGGTTCAGAGCTTCCCTTGGCAATGGACTCTTAATGGGTAGCCTGAAACGAAGAGATACCCTGTCTGCATCCATAAATTCCCAGGTTCCATCTCTGGGATTTCTAAGTAGGGATGGAAAACTCCTGGCTGAAACCCTGTAGTCGTGCTATCAAGCAGTGTAGACCAGGGCTGGGTCTTCTATATAATACTGTAATTAAAATAGTATTTAGTTGCATGTTTAATGAAATGAAAAAATGGGTCCATTCCCTTACTAATTCTTGCTAGTACAAAACTCAAAGTTGGACCCACCAAAAATAATTCTGGTGTGTCCTTTGTTTGAAATGGATTGAGCCAGAAGTCAGAGACTTCTTCAATGAAACAGGAGAAGGATAGTTTTAATTCCACAGTACTATAATTGTGCATTGGTGTTTTAATGCATGTAGGCTATCAGTGTTCGCCTTTAACATCCTGTTTTCCCACCTGAGGGAATTTTTGTTAGTTTCTGTATGGCTGAGCATCCATCATACTGCTTGCCACCTACAGTCTTGTGTACAGCCCAGAAACAGATCTATTTCGTTATTTGCAGTTTGTGAAAATTAGACTATAAGTATTTGGGGGGTGGGGTTGCCACTTGTAAATCACCAAAAAGAGAACATGCACATATCACAACACACACACACACACTTAGGAAGAATTGTTATAATTTAAGTAGAAATGTAGTGCATCATACCACAGTGTGGAAGTCTGTTGTGAGCTGACCTGCATACCTTTCTCTATTTGATGTCCAGGTACAGTTATGTGCAGGGCTTAGCTCTTCCTTTGGACGGTTATTTTTCAACTGGACATAGACTAGACACCCCTTCAAACAGAGGACACCTTCAACATAGGAGAGAGTCATCTGGCAGCCTTTCAAATAGAGGACTGCTCTTTGACCACCTCAGGCTATGTGTGTGTATATTGTGTGTCGGCACACAAAAAGAGAAATGGTGCTTTATTTTGTGTCTCTTAGGGTGCCAGTTTGCAATTTTAAAAATTTTACCTACCTAACAATCCTGTTCTTCTGGTTTTGTATCCATCACTTCCTCCTCTTGGCTCTTGGGAGCGTTGTTATGTATCACGCAGCTTCCAGGATCCTTCCCAACTGGTTGCATTTCAGTGCCCTGAGAAGTAACTGGATGTCCTTTGAAGGACAGCTGTGGTGAACAATTGGAAAAAATGCCATCATTCACCCATTTCAGGACAAGAAGGATAATGGCGATTTTAATGGATATTTGTAACCGTATTTATTTTGCTTTACAGTTCTAATTCTACAGCCCTATGTTTCTGAGGTTTCCTTGTAAATACCATCTTTAGATTTTAATGAACTGGTGATTTGGGAGGAAGTTCTTGATTGGTTAAAGCCTCTTTTCTCTCTGTAGGGAGGTGGTAAGGTTGAATGGCTGTGTTTTACTTCTTTTGTTTTCAGCAAACACTTGAATATAATCAAACTTTCCCTGATTTTCTCTTGTGCAAAATGGAAGGAACACTCTGAATTGAAACTATAGTGCATATTTGCCATAAGAACTCATAAAAGCTGCCTAAATTGCATTGTTATCTTTAGATAATTAATTTTAATTAATTCTTGTTCAAAGAATAGAGAGCACTATGTTCTTATGAAATCGTGTGTTGCTTCTTCCTCTTCACTCATCTCTCTTGTGACTCGATGGTTCTTCTGATCTTTTTGAGTTTCTTGGGTTTATGAAACTAGGCTAACAACTGACATAAATACTCATTAAACTTTCCTTCACTTTGTGAACAACTTTAAGTGGATCATAGTTTTAAAGAACAAGGAAGGAAGGGGTCCTATTCTGCTAGGCAAAATCATTCAGAACAACTTGAGGGCCCATGTTTCTGGGAACATAACAGTGTGAGAGCCTCCAATTTGACAGTAACAATTAGCTTTCAGAAGTGGCAACCTAGGGAGCATGAGGCCCTCTTGTCCTGGAGAGGAAATGGTTCAGCTTGCCCTTTTTTGAGCACAAAAATGAAATCTGCATTCATTGCAGACTATTTCCAGAAAAACACCACGAACAGGAAAACTTAAGCACAAAGGAAACATTCACCTGAACACAGAATGCTTTGCAAATTGAAAAATAGGTTGACTTAGATGGGCTTAAGCTTTGGAAACAAAACAGAGAACGTAAGCACCTTGTCTGTGATTAAACTTGGTAAATTCTGAAGGCAGCTTATGACAGTAAGGTCAAACATTAAATTTTCATGGGCAACCTCTTTTCTTTTTCAGAACTCTTCACGATGATCTTCAGGTCAGCAATAGTGAAGATGATAACGACGATGACGATGATGACCAAGTCAGTGTGTGTATATAGAACTCTACGTTTCTGTCCTATGTAATTTAAGCAGAAAATACCGTATTTTTCCTTGTATAAGATGATACTTTTTCTTAAAAATATTTACCTAAAAATGGAGGGGCATCTTATACACTGGGGGGGGGGGGGAGAGGAGAACCATGGTTGCGAAACTGCCGATAGCTTATCTCTGCAAACTTGCCTCACAAGCGAAACTTCTGATTGCAGAGACAAGCTAATAGGTTTCCTCCAATCATGAGCCTTATGTAACTGATGTCAGCTGATAGAAACATAGAAACAGAGCAAGTCAGAAGGGTTCTCCTGGGCCATCTAGTCTGACCCCTGGCTCCATTCAGCTCCGCTCACGACATGCCCACCATGTGCTGATGCTGTGGAGAACGTGTAGCCAGTGTCCAGATGCAACAGGGAGTAGTAATGTCGGAGTGTTCTGAGCCCATAAAAATGTCAGAAAACAAACAAAAAAAATATTGGTACCGGTAAGCGAATGGAGTCGATGGATTCAAAAATCAGGTGGTAACTTGACACCGACAGGAAGAATGAAAAAACCAACCATTACTGAGGTTAGCAGTTGGGTTCTAAACTCAAAGTATGGTGTCAAACAAGAGGTGATTGTGAAGTCCTTCAAGAAATGAGGACTCAGCAATGCCATGGTGGAACTGAGGATGATCTCATATATAAAGACAGTGACTCAGCAGGCAGCAGTGATGCAACAGAAGTTGAAGAAACTGATGTGTTTGAAACTAAAAGTGATGCTGAAGAAACCAGTGGTGCAGTAGAGGCTGAATAAAGTGATTTGCTCAGAGCTAAGCATCATGCATAATGTCATAGTGCTGGTATGTAAACGTTGTCTAATCACTAAATAAAAATGTCTTCTATTTAGTGATTAAAATTCTGGGTAAGAAAAGTTGGGGGCGTCCTATACATGGGGGTGTCTTATAGACGGAAAAATACGGTAGGTCTGCAATTCCTCTGTATGGTTGTTGTAAACCATCCTGAGACGTCTGTGGTGGGACAAAATACATACATACAGACATACATACCAGGCCAGCCATAAGACTTCAGAACTTTTTTCTGCCTAAGCATGCATAGGAATGTGATCTTGATTCTGTAAATCCTTGCATTCCTTAGGCTAACCTTCCTCTTGTTCCTTCTTCTTTTTGTTTTCTTCTTGCTCGTGATCAGGTTTCCGATAAGCCATCTTCCTCATCAACTCCTCCAAGGTACAGTTCCTTTGGCAAGAGATTCCAAAAATAACAGAGATGTGGTGGGTGGGTGGGTGCTGGAAGTTTTATGTGTATACACTGAAACTCTTACAGAAATTGCTTTGGGCAGTTAAGAAGTTGTTGTCACATTTATATCCCACCTTTTTCCTCCAGAGAGGCATCCATGAGCCTCCTCTTCCCCATCTTTTTCTCCCAGCAATCCTGTGAGGTAGGTTAAGCTAAGAGTTAGTGACTGAACAAGTGAATTTCATAGCTGAGTGAGAATTAGAACCCAGATCCCCCGGGGCCCTGATTACTCCAGTTCTGATGACACAACAGGCCACTGTGAGGTAATTAACCCTTGAAGTGACACAACACATGCCATGCGCCATTACGGATGGCTACATCTGCGGATATTTTATATAATCCCTGACTGTGGGTTCCCAGGGCTTGTCATAGCATCTAAACCTTGATGTTGAAGGCTATTTGAGGGTTAAGCAGCTCTTGTATCTCCCGTCATCTGTTTTGGTATTATCCAAGGGTTTTTCAATCCTCATTTAACCCACAGAACCTGAGTTCAGGCTACACGACCAGGCATGGCAACCCCAGACTAGAGTTTGTATTTTCTGTGAGTTAGGCAGAAAGATCAGTCTAGCCCAAAGCCACTAAGGCTGCAGCCCAGGGCTCTTAATGCACCCAAGTCTCCAAAGGAGGAGTTTTGTGGGCAGCCGATGGACAGTACAAGGCCAGTGTCAGACACCGTAGGATTGCACCCTGAATGAGCTTCATGGTTGTGCTGGATTGTAACGTGCGTCTTCCTAGTCCATGTTTAACATGCAGTCTGCTGTGCCACTCTTGAGATCCCAGTAGATATTTGTGAAAGTATCTATTCTTTAGCTTTCCTTTTACTTCAGTGACATTTACACATGAATAAAATCCACACTGAACAGTGCAGCATGGAAAACTGCAGTTACTCAGGCCATAGATTTGTAAGTGTTACGCCTCAAGCACCTAATTAGCAGATTTTCACTTGTTTCCCCCCTTCTATTGCAACCAGTAATTAGATCGTATATGCTGTAACAAAAAAGGTGCAGGTGCTCCAGTCCCATTATTATTATTATTATTATTATTATTATTATTATTATTATTATTATTATTGAAATAGTTGATTATGAGCTGGTTTACCTGCTCAGTTTCTAGGGTTTGAGACATTTTGAACTCCTGAGGTATAGACATGGGTGGAGCAAACCAGGAGAACTGCACTTGTGAAATGTTGGGAAGGCAAGAGATTAAGGCTGCAGTTTTACATGCACTGAACTCTGTCAAAAAAAAGCTGCAAATTTTTAAATGGCAAACTGCAGTAAAAGCATGAGCAGAGTACTCCTACTGCCCCTTAGACAGTGTCTAGGTGACCATAAGATCACTTGGGCTCCCTGTTCCAAAGTGAGAAAAGATCTCTTCAGATCCTCCTCCCCCTGTCACATCTAGCATGGAAGGAACCATGCCAGTTGCTTCTCGGAGGTCAAAAGAGCAACTTTGGAGGAGGGCTTTGGGTGGTGTTTCTTGGAGCAGGGTGGAGAGACGAGCAATGCCAATATTCAACATATTATGGTCATGCCTCAGCTTTCCTCCACTTCCTTCAGCTCCAGAGCACTGCAGTAAGATGTTCTGCATAGGCTGCTCACAATCCTCCGAATTCAGAGGGTTCGGGTCAGCCCCACTTGATTGCATCTTAAACTTTTACCCTTTAAGTTCTTCCTCTGCAAAGAGGAACATGTAACCTATAACACAGCGCTGGTAATTACTGGCAGTTCTTACAGAACATGCACGTGCTACTGTGTCGCTGCTATTTTAAACACTATGTGACAAGCATCCTTCAGGATAGAATGAACAGTTCTAAATATGGAGTACAGTGACCTAATTCCCACTAAGCAGTTTAAGCAAGTAGTAATGATTTGCAGAACGATGCCTAACGTTGACATCAGTAATTATTCTCCTGAAACTGCAGTTTCCCCCATAATGTAAATCTAGAACTTGCAGAAAACATGCCTTTGAGCTGTGCAATACACACCAGGGTGGGCAAGATTTTCTGTTTAGGAAATAAAGAAAAAATTAAAATTATCTATTTAAATTACTTGCCCATGTACATTTTAAAGAGACAGAACAAATACATTCCAAATGACAGGAGCTTGAAAGCCTTTTTAAAAATAATAGCCGTGCACTGAGCTTGTGAGATAGATCCCTCATTTGCAAACCATGTTTGATCTAGCACAGTCCTGTATTGTTTTGTTCTTAATTGCATTTTAAATATGGAGTGACAAGAGTAACTGGAAGGAATTTAGCATGAAGATTTAAATGGCAAGCTGTAAACTGTAGAGAATCTGGTAAAGCGGTTATAAACTTGGAACGTTCTCAGTTCACTGACTGTCTGTTACACCAGAAAGACCACACCATTTGCTGACTATTGTAGAAATGACCACTGGCTGTTACGGTCTTTCTGTGACTACTGCTCAGTTCATGCTGGGATCTGCCCCTACAATCACATGTGCAGGCAGGAAGTAACAAACAAAGCATCTTATGTGTGAACCAGCCCACAGAAATACCTTAACTGAGTGAATGCCCTGCCACTGCCAGCAAACATTGAATATCTGCCCAGTAGAAAATATTTGAGGTAGGCTGTTGCATTAAACACTACAGTTTTCCTGCACTGGCGCCTCCACTTAGTAACTCCCCGTGCTGTCCATTTAGCACTTAATTGCTCAGCCCCCACCTTTCAAATGCATATTGTAAACAACAAACATATTGTTTATGTTTGTTGATGGCATATGTTTGTTGTGCCATCTTCCATTTCGATTATCGCAGTCTAACCTTTTGCAGTTCAATACCCCAGGTAGAAGAGAGGCTTTATTTAGTTCAGAAGTGCAGAACATATCTTACTCTCCATGCAGAAGTCCATGGCCCTTTCCCTGAACCACAGATCATTTGGGTGGTTTCCCAGCTTTTCTGCAGGGTTTCTCCATGCTCTACAAAGCTAAGGCTTAGTTGATAGCAGTAAGAGCTTTAATCTGAACTGTGGTTATGTGGGGCTGGTTTGCCGCGCCCTTTCTGCATTCAGCTCCCCTGGAATGCAAAAGCTTCTCCAGAACTGAACTTGGCAACAGAGGTTCTGCACCCCTGCTTTGGTTCCATGGTGGAACTCATACTTTCAGGTGTTTTGAGCTGAAAACCTAGCACCTTTCTCTTCCTGAAGCTACGGAGAAGCTGCTGCCCATCTAAGACTGTAGATGAACCAGTGGCATGGCTCTGCATAATTCAACTTTGAGTATTTACACACAGTGATATATTCCTCTCCACTGGTCATACTGGGTGAAGATGAGGAACAGTTAACTTAGTCCTAATGTTTGCTTTATGGATTTGCTTCTTTGGTAATCCTCCTTTAGAGCATTTTACACCAGTCTTGTCTAGTCTGTTCCCCTCTGGATATTTGAGGCTGTATCTTCTATCATCTGTAACTTCTGGTTATGCAGGCTGGCACTGGTGAGAGGTGCCATCCAAATCTATATAAGGGGAGGAAGAGAAGAAGCAGAGGGTGCAGAGAATATAAAGATATAAAGTTGGTTGGAAGTCAAAGATACTCACATTTTGCTTAGGAGATTTTGACCATTAGAGGAAATACATTTATAGTGCAACCCTATGTCTATCTCCTGAGGAGTGTAAATTCCATTGTTGTACTCCCAGGTAAGCATATAGTCTCCGATTAGCTGCCAAATCTTATTGCACAGTCTTTCTACAGAACTTTTATGAAGCCCAATGTCTCTTGGTTGTGTATGCTTTTGCTTCAACAATTTTAATATTTGCTTCTGTATATTTTTGCACTCATCCTTTTGGAATAGCCTAAATGTGTCTGCAAATTGTGATTTCTTTTCAATAGAATTAAAATTATACTGGTTGATTTGCTTTTCCTGGCAATCCTGTATCAAGGGGGTGGGGTGGGGGTGGCGGAGTACAGAAAGATGATCTTTACTACCAGTGGCTAATTTTATCTAATGGTATTGGCTTGCAGTGCCCCTCTTTCACAGCCCGAGAGTGTGGCATTGGCTCATTCCAGCAGTCCGGAGTCTGGGAGCACAAGCGACTCAGACAGTTCTTCTGACTCAGAGAGCGAGAGCAGTTCTAGCGATAGTGAAGCAAACGATCCCCCAGCGAGAGCCTCCACGCCTGAGGTACGGTGTCGCATGTCCCACGTTCACGAGCTGTAAGGTGCGGGCAGCCAGTGTGGGTCCCTTCTTGAGGTCTTTCGGCTAGCTAAGTGCTCTTACAGGAGGCTGTTGTCAGCCATCCTACCGCATTATCAGCCCCTTTGTGCCCCCCAAGTGTTCCACCCTGTGCGTTGCCGTTCTGTTGCTTGGCTCCCTACAGTAGTACTGCTGTGCACAAAAACAAGGCTGTCACATGCAATTACAGTCCCCACACAAAAGCTCCCCATAACCGCATCTGTCAAGCCCCAGAGCCAAGAAACTGCAGACACACAGCAAACTGAAGCAATGCAGCCCACACCCTTAAACTGCAGTCATCTAATAGGTTCAAAGTGTGTTTAATTTATTATTTTTCTGCACAAAAACTGCCCAGGTGCTGGTCAGTTAATCCTATGCTTTTTAACTCAGTGGTTGAAATACTGGAAGGTGAGATTAGGTTTTTGGTAGACTGGCAGTTTTTCGTCATGTCTCTTTAAGTAGAAATGTTAGAGACTTAGGACACAATGCTATGCATGCTGGGCTTTGGAGGACTTTTTTCTGTCTAAAAAGGCATAGGATTTGAAATCTGAAATTTCTGTTCTGCTTAAATGAAAGAAGCAAATTTAGTGAAGAACCTAAGCATCCTTGAGTGGGATCTACCCCCACTTCCCTCCAGAAATTCTGTGACTACGTTCTTACTTTCCTATTGTCTGCTGTCCAGTTGTGAAGTGGATTAGAGGAAGCTCAGCATGTAGATTGTTCAGTTTTTCTTAACTGCCATGCTACAGAGGTTTGCAGTGGCACAGTGAAAATCCTCTAGTGCAGTGATTCCTAAAGTGGGCACTACACCCCCTCCATGGACACTGGGGGATTGGTTGTTTTAAATTTGCAGCAGAGCAATAGACCTAATACAGGGAAAGAGGCTTGGGAGGCACCATGGTTGTCACCCAGAGGAAAGGGAGCAACAACCCGAAAATGTTTGGGGATCACCACTCCCCTGTGGCAACCACTACCATATGGGCCAGTTCCGAAGCATTTTTTGAGTAGCTTCCACTATGATGTTACTCAGTGGTGGACACAAATCAAAGATAGTATAAATTTCAACTGAACAGAGGTGAGTATTTGGGTGCATACTAAAATTTGGATCAGAGCCTTCACTTAAATTTTGTTTTGAACTTAAACCATTTCTGTTTTGGTTGCATATGCATATATTTATTGGACAATAATGCATTGTCTAGCTTTCACTTTTCAAAAGACAAGTTTTATAGAAGGTGTAGAGTGTGCTCACCCTGCCTGACTTGCTCAAACTGTGTTGGGACTGCAGCACTCATAATTACTTGTCAGCATGGCCATTTAGCTAGGAATTATTAAAACTGCAGTCCCAGTACATCTGGAGGGATCCAGGTGGGGAAGGCTATCTAGACACACAGGCCTACTAGGAGTATGCACTCCCCTCCTCCTTCCACACAGATTTCTTTTTTCCAGGACGTGGCAGGACTCCCTCTGGTTTCACTTGGCTTGGTTCCTTGAGTTTTGAAGGTCTCCACTGACCTACTTGGGAAGACAATGTAGGAAAAGTGCCATCATTTCATAATCAAGAGCAGGCATGTTTCGAAACTGCTTCAGGAACAAAAATATGTATTACACGTCATTTGTTATAACATTGGACTTGGAAGCCTGTTGATGAACCATGGAATGGGGGGAACAATCCTTTTCAGGTGGTTTTAATTAATCACCCTTTGATTATCTTGATTTTCGGAAAAGCACTGCAGTACTTTGCATCAAACAACACAGAGAGGGAGATGCAAAATATAATCAGCAGGAATGGGCAGATGTTAATTCTCCAGATGCTTTGGATGTCTCCGGCTAGAAGCCCCGGCGAGTGTGGCCAGTGGTTAGGAACGCTGGGAGCTGAGATCTGAAACGTGGAGATCTGCTTTTTGCCCACATAGGGAGTGCACGTTTGAGTGTAAATTCATATTATAATTCTAGTTTCATTGAGGGGATTATAAAGCTGAACACTTGTCCATATATACAGTTCCGTGCAGACATGAAACTAGCATATTAGGGGCAAGTATTCCAGCATAGCCATCCCCCTGACATGTTTGTTTAAATAGTAATTTTCACCGCCACCTCAGCAACAGCAATTTTTACCTAAAATACTATATCCATTCACTCATTGTATACAACTTTGGACTAGAGGTGAGGCATATAGTTTTTTCACGCACTTTAAAAAATCTCCGCACACAAATAGAAAAGGCGGTAATCATGATGGCTTGATAGTTTCAGGTTGTGTGCCCAGCCCAGCTCAGACGTGCATGAAGCAGTTCTTTGAACAGAGTGCATCATTGAAGGCTGGAAAAGATGTATCAGAACTGTTGCAACTGGTGTGCAAGGAGTTTGTTTATTTATTGCTTTATTGGGTGTTATTTTTTCAGTGAAGCGTCGTGCATGCACATGGTGTTTGCATCAGCCTTCCACAGCTGATGCCCTTCAAAAGCCATACTGGCTGGGAATGATGGGCATTGCAGTCCAACGCAATTGGAGGTCACAGAAAAGCTTTGTCTAAAGAGGCAGTTGGAAAAAGTAAGAGGGGGAGGTATCAGGCAGGTTTTCTAGAAGGCAGCTCCAAGCATGCAGTGAAGGAATGGGGGGAGTTATTTGAGGGTGCCAGAAACGTTTGTATGGAGGAGATCAGTGGAGTTGGAAGAAGGAAGTCCTTGGCCTGGGCCTTTGTTCATGTGGGCCTTTGTCAGTGGGCAGAGTTACCATGACTGGACCATCAGCCCTTGTTTATTCAAAGCACAGGCTCAAGCCTGGGAAGGTGTGGTAGGAGTTAATGGTGTAATTTCAGCTGGCCTCTTGGGCAGATCATCATCTTCCTTCTTTTTCTCCATAGCCTGATCCACAGACATCCAACCGGTGGTTGCTGAAACACTTTCTGAAACCCAGTGAGAGTTTCCTTGAGGATGATCGTAGCAGAGGGAATCTCCAGGAGGGCAAAGAGCAAGGGAAGACTTTCAGTGGTAGCAGTGACAGCAGCAGCAAACGAGATTGCCCGCAGCCGGCAGAGGGTCACTCCAAAACTGCCAGCAAAGCACCTCGGTCGGCCCAGGAGGTACACTTGCCTGCCAAGCGGAGCTGCCAGAAGTCTCCTGTGCATGTGGAGGAGCCCTCTCATAAGACAGTAGGCAATAAACAGCCCAGGAAGTCCAGCAAAACCACGGTGCAAGAAGAACCGAAGAGAGGCCTAACCGTAGAAAGTGAACCACCTGGCCCCTATGGGGCAAGGGATCAGTCTTCCAAAGACAAGCCCAAGGTGAAAACGAAAGTGAGGCCAAAGTCTGACAATAAGAAAGAACTAAAGCCCACTGTGTTGGAGCCCTTTGAAAAGAAAAAGCACAAGAATTTGCACCAGAGCACCGTTAAAGCATATTTGGACCGTGATGCTGCAAAAGACAATGCCCTGGAACAGCTCCCCCTCAGTCCTCTGAGTCAAAGCCCCAGAGTTTCTGCCACCAGCAGACCAAGCAGTCCCAAAGTGTCTGTGGTAGTCAGAGAAGACCTTCATAGGGACAAGCTTCCTCTTCCGAACAGGGACAAGAAGTTGCTGTCACCCTTGAGGGACTGCTCGGTCCCCCCGGCACTTGTGGTTAAAATTGAGCTTGCTCTTCTCTCCCGGATCCCACAGCCACCGAGAAAAGGGGCCTGCCCCAAAAGATCAGACATCAGAGAGAGCCACAGTATGCATAAGCATGAGGCCGAGAAGAGGAGCACAGATGCTCCAGGCAAGTCCCTCAAAAAGAGGAAGGTGAGTGGCTCTTCTTGGAATGATACATTTGTCCAACTCTTAAAATGGCGTCTCCCTGAATCTAGCCAGTATCTCGTATATGTTGCTTCTTTCACTGCCTGATTTTTATTTTTAAAAGTGTCCAAATTGCATTGCAGCATTCCTTCTGCTTGAGTTCTCAGCCATTCCTAGGAATGAATTCAGTGCAGATGAGTTCTTGTAAATACTTTTCCATGAGGGTTGCACTGAGTGGATTCTTAGGGACTCAATAAAAAACATCAGCATGAAGTAATGGAGAAAAAAGCAGATTTTAATATATTTTTAGGAAGGGAACTGCAAATAAACCCTGCTATCCTGAGTGTTCTGGCACCTGCACATGTGAGCTGCTATATCAACTCCCCACAACACCCTGGAGTGATGCTATTATCACAGGGCATTGTGGGAAGTAGAAATGATGGCTCCTAGTCTGCTGCTGCTTATTGGCTGGTAAGCCCAAGAGAAACCAGTGATACATGGAGAGGCCCGCCCAAAGTCAGCTCTGGCCAGTTGCATAATGCCTTCATACACATGTGGCCACATTTGAGCATTTGTTGGCCACTTCAAGAAATAAAGAAGGGACAAGAAGGAGCAATTGAAATGTTCACGGGTTGAAGCATGCTCCCCATGAGGAAAGGCTACATTTTAGGGGATGTTTTAATTTAAAGGTGATAAAAGGGATGGAGCATAGATCAGTTGATAAGATTAACTGCTTTGCATGTGGGAGTTCTAGATTCTGTCATGGCATCAAGCAACAAATAAGGACTCAGGTAGCAAATCAGAAATTAAAGGAGCATATCAAACCTTGGAGAAAAGGGGCTCAAGTAGCAAGTCAGACATTGGAGAATTGCTGTCAGCTACAGAAGATGGTGCAGGGTTAGATCAGGGGTCGGCAGACTTTAGGCTCTTGGGAGGTAACATTTTTTCACTGTCACCCAGAGGCCTGCTAAATCCAATCGCTTCTAAAAGAGCAACTTAGGAAGGTGAACAAAAAATTACAGAATGATGTGCCTCTGGGCACATGTTCACTAGGAGGTGCTTTTCAGGGCCAGAATCCATCTACACAGAGACTTTATCCTGCTTTTATCCAAGGTTCATAGGAGAGGTAAAGGAATTTCATTGCTGCTTTCAGGAGCTGGAAATCTTTGCTGATCTATTGCAAATTGCCTGGACATTTCCCAGTCTATATTTTGCTCGCCTTTGCACCAATACAAGGACAGTTTTGTGTGCTCGTGACATGATGGAGGTTTATTAAAAACCTTTAAAAAGGTGGAAAGATGGAAATGTCCTCTCTGTTCTCTTACGATTCTTGAACTCAAGATTTCTCAGAGGAATTTGGTAGCATAGCTTCAGGACAGATAAAAACAAGGATTTCTGCACAACACCATTAACTTATGGCCAGTTTCAAACTCTGCAAGGAAGCAGCATTGCAGAAAAGATGGACAAATGGATTGCATATCTTCCCCTGCTGCTGCAGCAACTTCCAAAACAGGGTTTTCAACAACTCCACATAAAGACTCACACACACACACACACACACACACACAGAAATCCTGAAATTGATCATGACCATTTGTTTGTTTGTTTGTTTCTCCCAATGACCACCTTTCCCTGGGTGGCTCTCTTTATGGTCAGAATCTGCCATTCTCAAATTTCACACATTTTGCAAAATAAATTAAGAACATTGAGCAGAAGTGTGAATCATGTATAACCAGTGTCTTGCAACACATTACAGTCTGCTGGAAGTATAATCCAAAACACTTCACCAAAACTGCTTGGTGAAAGTGGAATTAACAGTAATCTTGTAGCCTATTGGGGAGAAAGCAGTTCAGGACACCTTGAACAGCCACATACTGTATTGCAGGCTTAATGGATATGAGTCCTGAGTTAAGTTGTAAGATCCAGGGGATGATCAGATCATTTGGAAATAATTACATGTGAACAAGTTTTATTCTTGAGTAGGCCTACACAGCTTTGACCTACTAATCTAAACTAGGCCGAGCAGCAGTCTGCTGCATCCTGGGAAACACTTGTAGCCACCCTCCTGTTTTTCCAGGCCTAGGCTAACAGCAAAAAATTGGCACTCATCAAGCCCCTGCAGGCTTCATTTAGCTCAGCAGGTCACAAGTGGGATTGGACATGGAAAGCTAGAAGGGTTCTTCCACGGTGTCTGCAAAGTGAGAGCTAGCAAAGCATCTACTTGTTGCAAACAGGCCTTTGGAGCTTCAAATGCAGATCTTCCAGGTCAATACAAAAGGGCAAATGAAGAAGGGAATTATATCAAAGTATTGTCGTCATCTTGTTTTTTTTTTTTTAACCAAGCCAGCTTGAGTCCCAGTCACTAGGAGCAGGGAGGGTTTACGTACATACATACAATAAATAGTACATTGGTTGTGGGCAGCTGAGAATGGTTGACTTCCTTGCGTGCTGCACAAGTACCTTAAATGAAAACCACTTACCCTGGTAATGAGCTGGCTTGGTAAAAATAATAGCCACTTAGTTGCTTTAGTTATTGCTTTATGGCTGAGGCCACGTGACTCACTCCCAAGCTGCTTCTTGAAGGATATGCTCTCTGAAACTTGCTCATGAACCTCTGCCCAGTCCTGGCTCAAAAACTGGTATTTTTCTGCTGGGAAAGTGTGTGTAACCTCCCCCTCCCCCCATATCTGATTCCTGTTAAAGTGACTTTGGAGAATCTACGTGGGTTTAACTCTGGTGTGCTCTTTCTGTTTGGCAAGCAAAGGCATGGTCACCTGCCATTAATTACTTAGCCAAAAGGAACGTTATGTGTTGCAGTTCCCGCTCTGTCTCTCTTTGTCCGTCTGTGTCTCTGTATAATTCATACTTGCTGAAAACTGCATATCCAAGTATATGTTTAAAGAGAGCCCTATTTGAACCATCACAGGTTAGAAAAACATTATATGTTGCTGGTTTGGGCCTTGATAACTTAGGGATTTCTCTTGCTCATGCCCTGAACAAATAGGAAGTATTATCCAGTCACTCCAGCTTTCCTATATACACTTTTTCATCTGCAGTTAACTTTTAAAAGGAGTTACAGTTCCAGCTGAAGAGCAGTTAAGGGCCAGCAACATTGGCTTTGGCCACCAAGTCACTCTTGATGAAGCTTGCAGTCCGGGCAAGCAGCTCTTTGCCACCTCATTGGCTCCAGTGCGAACCTTTGAGCAGTGCAGCTTTGGAGAGGGCCTTTCTTTTAGCATATACTTTGCTTGCAAAAGGTCCCCGGTTTGATCCCCAGTGACTCCCACGTGTGGCCTGAAAAGCACCTGCCTGAAGCTCTGGAAAGGCACCAGAGTGTCTGTCCACAGTCCTAGGCTAGATAGGCCAGTGGCCTGACTTTGGATAGAGCAGCTTTGTGTGCTTATGACCATTCCCAGTGCCTTGGTTTTGAGTGGCAGTGAGCAGATGGGGTGCAGACCGAGGAGAGGCATTATCAGTGCCACGCTCCAGCAGAAGGCATTGCATTGCTCTTTGCCTGCACCTCAGCTTTGGAAAGTGACTCTGATGCATAACTTTAGCTTTCTGTGATCAAGTCTCTGCTGTAGGGCAGGTGGCATGCCTTGTCCTCACTGTCCATTCATGCAGTCGTCCAGCTGCAGGAAAACGTGTGCAGAAAAGCCTCATCCCTGTGTGCTTATTCCCAGTGGGATGAAGAACCCATGGATGCAAACAGGGCTGGGGGGGGGGGGGGCGGTTGCTGATGTGACTTCCTTCGCTCTGCATTTTCAGCCTATGTAGAAAACTGACGATACTGCTGGCAATTGGAGCTTGCAGTAAAATGTTGCTGTTTTGAGTACACCTGTTCAAATTGTGCAGTCTATTCAGCCAGCAGTACCCTTTCCCATACCCTTCCAATTCTTTCTACCCCAGTTTCCTATTTTTCCCTGCTCAACACCAAATTCATTGGTCACTGAGCACACTCAATTCTCACTGGGCTGCTTTGCGAGTTTGTCCCCTTTAATTTGCATTTAATTGCTGTCCACCTATTCCTAATGGAGTCTCTGGGCAGCTTCTGCAATATTTTTTTTGTGCTTCTGCAACCCAGTAGCTTGTGAGCTTAAGTGGACTCCGGGGGATGGTGGAGGACAGGAAGGCCTGGAGGAATGTTGTCCGTGGGGTCGCGATGGGTTGGACGCGACTTCGCGACTAGCAACAGCAACCCAGTAGCTATCAGAGAATAGCAGCAGGGGAAGGCAACCATTTTGGGCCCTGCAATAATTTGGTAAAGTGTCTTGGGCTTCATCACAACTTGCTGTGGAGTTTGTGCTGCACTCTGTAGATGATGAGATTCCGTGTCCCACCTGACTTTTCTGACCCCCCCCCCATTTGCACTTTTTCCATATTTCCTGCCAAGCTTTTTTTGGAGGAACACAGGGGCATTCCCACTCCTCACCCCTCAACCCTATCTAATGTCAGTGGGGGAATATCACTCTTTTAACTTGGCAAAAAGGGTGCACCATCAAAGAGAAAGAAAAATATGTTTAAATATGTTCACAGCACTGCATAACTATAATACATGGATAAATAAATAAGCCCAGCTGTCACCAACAACCCAGTGGTTCTTGGTGGGGGTGGTCTTTCCTCCCCCTCAAGCCATTTGGCAGAGAATTTTACCGTGAGTGGAGGGAAGTGCAAAGAGTCTGGCAGCAAACTTAGGGGCTTGGTTGACACCAGCAGACCCCCAGGTGCTACATGGCTGTCCCTTAGCAGGTGGGATGAAGTATTTATGTGGGGGAGGAGTTGGTGTGGGGGAGGGGCTTCATTAGGTGCACTTAGTCAAATCTGCAGTTACCTGTGCTGCTGCACATGGGGGCAGTTGGATCAGGACCTCAGCTTTGAGTACCAAACGGTGTGTTTGTCTTTGTATCAACAGGAAGACACTTTGAGAAATGATCAGAAAAAAGTCAAACTGGATAAAGAAACCAAATCATCCTCATCATCAGGCCATAAAGATAGCAGTAAAAACAAGTGAGTACTAGGCTCTTCAGCAATAGTTTTTCTTAAAAGCAAACAGTGAGCAATCAAGTGGAGAAACATGATTCCTTGTGCTTTAAACGTTGGCTGTTGTGTTTATTTTTGGTGAAAGAACGATGTATATCAGCTAGGACTGGCACTGTGACTTCGTATGAAAGTTGCAGGGACTCTGTCCTGATGGTTTCTGTCCCAGAATCCCCAAACACTGATGTTCTATTGTGAAACAGTCGGCCAATATTTGCCTTGTTATCGGGGCTACATTTGTTCAAACTGTCCTTTCTTTTCTATTTCTTCTGAAGCATATAGCAGGCTACAAATCACAGGTAAGGAGTCCCTTTATTTTAAAATTCTACCGCATTCCCAGTCAGTGGCACTCGGTACGGCAAGTGTGGGGACAGACTTTTAGGGCTTCCTCTATAGCCAGAAAGGAAAACATTTTCACAAGCATTTGCTGTCTTTGCCATTCTGGGCTCTGTATACAGAGGCCTGCAGTTATCAAAACTTAATACTGCCATGTGAGTATTTAGGGCAGGAACTTCTGTCCACTCCTGAAGGGAAGGTGGGAGGAAGTGAAGCTTCTTCTGCATTCTGTACCATAAACTACAATTCTAAGAATGAACATGGCACTAGTTAAAGTGTTGGATGGGGACTTGGGTAATACACATTCTAGCCCCAACTCGTGAAGCTCACTGGGTAACTTTGGGGCAGTTACTGATTGTCAGCCTCACCTACTTCGCAGGGCTGTTGTGAGGATAATACGGAGAAGGAGGAATCTGTGAGCTGACTTGGATTGCAGGGAAAAGTGGATAATAAAATAATAAATAAATGGTTGGGTGCCTTTCTTTTTCTGGTTTAAAAAAGATCTTTAAAAAATCTTTCAGTAACCCATCCCCAAATGGTCTGAGTTAACTGACCCTGACTTGCTACTGAGATTTGAAAAATAAAATGAAATGGATGTTGAATCTTGCAGATCTGGGAGAGGGCGACCTTTATGCAGTCTAGAATGTTAGACTAGGATTGAGAGACCAGGTTCCAATCTCCCTGCCCAAGCCATGAAATTTATGAGTTAGTCTTGGGCCAGTCATAGGGCATCAAAGCATGTGCCAGGCAACATACTGAATGTGTGACCCAACTCAGGCCATCTTGTAGTGCCACCCTGGATTATTTCAGGATTAAACCATTTTGACATTCCCTCCACCATACTGGGAGTTACATGAGAGTGATTATATGAACTGGGTCACACTCTCAGCCTAACCAACCTCACAGGGTTGCAGAGAAGATAAAGGTTGTGTGTTTGCAGAATAATCGCTTTGTATTCTGAGAATATAACATTCTGTGCCAGTCCTTTGAGTGTACTCTTGTACTAGCTTTTGCAAAAAATCACCAGCAGTTTAAAGAGAAATGTTCATGCAGGATGATAGTAATGCCTTAATGAAGCTTAATTAGCGCAAATGGTTGCCACAAAACCCAAGTCTGGGTTTAACTGTAGTGAAGTGCTGAACATCTGGAAAGGACTGGCCCAAATGTTGATTAATTTTTCAAAGAGAAAGGCACTTTGGGGGCTCAGAAATCACAAAAGCAAATGGAATTTCTCCTGAGCTTTTCTCAGGTAAATAACAATTTACCTTCCTTCAGAATAATGTAACTGGATTCTTGTTTATTAAATATGGTTATATTTTAATCTTAAGGGGCTGCAGGTGGCGCAGTGGTTTAAACTGCTGTGCTGCTAGGCTGGTTGATCGAAAGGTCGCCGGTTCGAATCTGCACAACGGGGTGAGTTCCTGTTGCTCCGTCCCAGCTCCTGCCAAACTTGCAGTTCGAAAGCATACAAATGCAAGTAGATAAAAAGGTACCACTTCGGTGGGAAGGTAAACTTTGGTGTTTAGTCATGCCGGCCACATGACCACGGAGACTGTCTGCGGACAAACGCTGGCTCCCTCGGCTAGGAAACCGAGATGAGCACCGCCCCCTAGAGTCAGGCATGACTGGACTTAATGTCAGGGAAAACCTTTATCTTTTATTTTAATCTTAGAATCTTTATTAAGAAAAATTTCACAGATGTATAGAAGAGCCTTTCTTTAAAAAAATATGTTGCATTTGGGTGTACCAAAGAAGCTCTGATGGATTGTTCAAACATAATAAACCTTTATTTCTACCACCTTGAACCTTTCTTTCTGACATGTCGCGGTGGAGCAGAGGTATTTGCTGTTTGAAGCAAAAATATATTAAAATTCAAAGGGTTTGTCCAAAGTCTTGTATACAGGAGAAATAGCTTTCGAGTCTCAGGAATTGTGAGGAATACATTGTTAATCCCATCAAATACCTTGGCTTCATTTCTCCTCTAGAGGCAAACCTAACAGTCTGTTATTCTGTATGTACTTCCAGCTTCTGTGCATTATCAACGTGTTAATAAATTCTCAGAAATTCCCTAATTTCTACCCCCCCCCCGTTGCTCAAGATGAAATCTTTGCCAATTAACTGTGTGTTGTTTTCAGCATTATCCTCTAAATAAGCAGAAGCTCTGTGCTTTGTATTTAAATAGCATTCTGACATAGGCTCTGTCGAAATGTTTTGCAATCTACCCATATGGCTCAAAGACTGTCTCGATTTCCCATTTCTAGAATTTCAAAGCTGTCAGGGGAGTCACAAAGGAAAGAGATGCCACTGCCGCCGCCACCATTGTCCCCTGCGCATCCCACGCAGAAGCCAGCCAAGACAGCTCAGAAGAGGCCAAAGAGCGATGGTGGCCCCTGCGGCCACCCCCCTGGCCCCAGTAGCAGCACTGCCAAGAGCAAGGAGAGCCACAAGGATTCTTCATCCTCCAAGCACAGGAAACTGGAGGGGAAGCCTTCAGAAAGCTCAAAAGACAACAAAGTAGGTGTAAAGAAGCAATTTCTGATTTAGAGAGATGTTGATGGAACTGTAGTTAAGGCACTGGAACTTGGGCTGTCCGGCCGTTCAACCTGGCCTGCTCGTGGAAACAGTCGCAAAACATCCAGACACTTATTGCTGTCTTGTTTAAAAATGGCTTCAGTCCCTGTGCCCCAGAATGTTTTGATGCATAGTTTTATAGTTTGATGCAAGAGCTGTCAGTCTGGGAACTGCCTGTGCTTGTGTGCAAATTGTCCCCCAGTAAGTTTCATAAACGATAACTCTTAGTTACAGATCTTTAAAGCTAGAGACGTCTTAAATCTACGTTACTTGTGTCCTTTTGTTCCTTTGGGAAGGGGAAAACTAGCAGTAAATAACTTCAGTATGGTTGCTTGCTTGATTTTTACTCTGCCTGGCGCCCAAATTGTGTTGCACAAATGTGTTGATAATAACCACTGTAGATGGCTTTTCAAAAGAATTACATATATACAAGGAGAGAGTAGGTTTGTTTATGGCCAAATAAGCTGAATAAGAACTTTTGTGTTCCAAGGCAGTGTCCCTTTGAGAAGAAATGTGCTGAAGAGCAATAGAGGGGCAGGATTAATGCCTTTAAGCCCTGTTTACGAATTTAACATAGGCTATTGGCATGTTGTTATGAAGAAGAGAAGGTTCAGCTAAATGGAATTTGTGGTCTGGTCCTGCAAGAGCTCTAATATTAATAATAAATTCTCTCATAACCTCAGAGGCAGAACCATTGCAGCAAAGCTGGCCTTCAGATGAAATAATCCCATCTTTCTTTTCTGGTTCTTCCCAGGCTTAAATTCCCATTTCTTGAGTTTTGTTTAAGCTACATTTCATTAAGGTCAGTTCAAGCAAAAATGATGATTAACAGAATAAACAAATTTAACCTTACACATAAATGATGTCTAAATTTGTTGTAGCAGTGAGTTATTGTGTAATTAATTAATAGAGAGTTTCTCAGGTTATGAATCTATTTAGTTTTGTTGCATCTTAGTGTCTTTTGAGAAAACATAGTGCACTGCTTTGGAAATAAGGGGAGGTGTAACTGGGTAGTTGCATTTTTAAAATAACCATCTGAGATAACATTAGGAACTGCTGTCATCTGCATCTTACTTAAAAGAAGCTAGCATGCTGTTCACGCAGTGTGTGGGCAAATAGCTGACAATGCTGCGGGGCAGTGTGCTTGCTAAGATTGCCTCTGGCGATCTTGACTTGTGCAGAACTGTTCACTCTAGGCTTTCATACCAACAAAAACCTGTGACTTAGTTTTTTCCAGCCTCTAGAAAATGTTCCACATGTTCAAACATCACCAGTCTGAAGCCAAGTTTCCTCACCCTCTGTAAAAATAAAATAAAATGTCCTGGGACAAATAATATGTGTGTTCTTTTGGAAAGCAAAATTCCAGTTTTTGCTGTTTTTTGAGTGCTATCTGACAGCGTTCCTTCCTGACTTCACAGGGATCTGTAGAGGATGTTCCAAACCCTTTCCCAGTGCCTTCTTTGCCAAATGGTACCTCCAAGCCAACGAAACCTCAAAGCAAACCTCACAAGTAAGAATATACTCGCTCTCTCCCTGCTCTCTGGTGGGAACACGTTGCCTTGAATTCTCACTCACCCTTCTTTCCCCTTCTCTTGTAAACAACTCAGTTTCCCTTTAAAAAAATCTTGTACTGTGGTCCAAGTTGGAGAACTATACAGGCCACATGGATATAATTTGGCTTTTCCATTTCACCCTTTTCTCTCATGTGGCTGGTATACGTGGACTCATTTATCCTAGGATGACAGCCCATCATCTCATCGCAACTTCTGATCAGCAGCTAAACTACATGCTATGTTAAATGCACAGTGTACAGCTAATCCCATCTTTTAAAAGCTTCATTGTAAACATACAGTGTCACAGTCTGTATTGAAACCACTGCATCTGAGTAAGGGGCGTGTTAAACCTCCCCCCCCCAGCTGCTTTTCCTCCAACCCCCAGTGCAAGGGTTGAAGAAGGTGTGTCTGGGGGACCGCTAGTCCAGTTGGTGTCCCCCTTTCACTTTAGCCCTTGTGCAGAGGGGGCAAGGGGAGTGGCCGAGTAGGTAAGTTTAACTAACCCTCCCCGACCCATGTGCATTGGGATTGATCTGGATCAGGGGCTTTGTGCTTACACAAAAGTTTTTTAAAAGGACCAGCTTCAGCCCATACATTCAACGTAGCGGATAGTTTAGCTCCAAATCGACATTTTCAGCATTACAGTTAAGGGAGTTCTGGTCCCACCTGCAGTGCAGCCATTCAGAGGTGAACAGATGTATTGCTCCAGCGTAGATTGTCCCCCACCCCATTGAGGACAGTGGCCACCAAGCAGCCCATTGGCACGCCCATCCTGAACCAGCATGGTTTGGCTGTAAATGGTCTCCGAGTTAGTTCTGGCATCTTACGGAGTAGGAGCTGTAAGATTCTACTGGTATTCCAAGTAACTACATATCCCAGCATGCCTTGCCCGCAGGCTTTTCACATTCTTCTTGAGATTCTGCCCTGGCAGTTATTTCCAGTTTCTAGTCTCTTTCTGCCAAGGCTTTTACCCCTGTGCTTCTGGCTGCCTGTGCCCCATCACTGAACAGGCAGTGAATTATTGGCTCAAAGGTACCAAGAGTTGTCGAACGCAGGTGAGCACAGTGGCTTTTGCTCCAGCATTCTGTCTATCATTGGGATAAATATGAAAGAGCAGGGCTCTTGTTTTCTGGAGACATCGTTTCCACAGTACTCAAATTTGCTCATGTGGACAGAGGTGTGAAGTATGATTTTGCAGACCTCAGCATTCCTGCCACCATGAAGGATGGTGGGATTTGTGTTCAAATGGTGGCTCTTCCAGAGGTGCTGCTCGGTTAAGGTGGCACCCCCAGGTAAGAGCATGCAGGATTATGCTCTAAAGCTGAAATCCTGGAAATACTTACTTGGGAAGGGACTTGTTATTCGCTCTGCAGTTATGAACAGCTGCACCACACTGAATAGGAAACCCCCTTTGTGACTCATCCTGAACACTGCTACAACATAGCGCTTTTATTCTTCGGGACCTTTTAAAGGTGCTGTGTTTTTACTGCTGGGTGGCCATGTTTGTTTTTGGTGGTGTTAACATGAATTTTCGTTGTGTTAATCAGCATCAGCCTTCCCCAGTGTGGTGCTGCCAGATGTTCTGGACTCTGGCTCCCATCAGCCTCAGCCACCATGGCCAATGAGCAGGGATTATGGGACTTGTGATCCAAAAACATCTGGAGGTGTCACACTGGTGAAGGCTGATGTGCATTTTAATTTGTAAGATGCTTTGGAAATGGAAGGACAGGGCATAATCTAATAATAAATAAGGTGGACCACACAACTGCCTCAGCTGAGCCAAGAATTACCCCAGCTTTCTTTCCTTTCCTTTCCTTCCAACCTCTCCTTCTTGCTTTTATTTTTCCTTTCCTCTTTCATGATGCAATCCCACCCTACCTCCTCATATGTAAGGCATTATTCTCTTATTCCAGATGGAATACTTGCCTTTTCAGCTTTTCCATTATGTTCTTAGCAAAAATGAAAAAGTCCATCATAAAATATTAATCAAACACACAGAAAGATGGTAGCATTACTATGCCAGAGATAAATATGTCTGACACTGAATGACCCAAAGTAGCCAGCAAAGGGCGTGACTGAAACTGTGGTATGTGAAGTTGTTGGAATGCTTCAGGATGCAGTCTGACAGCTGTGTGGGCTGGGGGATGCTGGGAGGTTTTTCTGCCTAGGGGTCTATGGACCACTCAGTGAGCATTCCTTCTGTGAGTAAAGGTGGGAGGTTACATCTTAGAACACTCCTGTGCATTAAACAAAGCATAAGAGCCAGCGGGATGGAGAGCTTAAGGTTCTGGATTGGGGCTCAGGATGTCTAGGTTCTAGTCCCTGATTTGGCCATAAAACTTCCTGGGTTACTGTGTACCTCAGCCCAACCAACCCCGCAGGTGAGAGAAAAAGGTCTACAGAAGCCCACTTGAGTTCCTTCCAAGAGGGAAAAAGGCAGGACGTAAGTGTTAATAAGTGCTCTGTCAGTGACATGAGTTCTGCATATTCCCATGTGCTTGGAGCTTTTTACATGGAGACTCATTCAGAGATTTTTCATTCTCTGTCTCTCACAGACACACAATATTTAAGGGAGGAGGTAAATAATTTTGGTGCATTACAACGCAAGCTATTAATGTGTGTTTTCTAAATGTATTGTTTGTTTGTGTCTTCATTTAGACAACATCCAGCCGAATTTCACTTAAAGGAGGCCAAAAGGCTGAAGCACAAAGCTGATGCAATGGTAAACTTTTTGGCTACATGCTACATAGCCTGTTAAAAGTCCACCTAACTTAGTCTCAGTCCCAGATCCTGAGCCAGTTCAACCATCAGAAGAAGCCACCATGGCTTATTTAGAAAGTGGTACATGCAATTGCCGTAAGTGCCACCAAGGCACGATTTATAAATGTTTTAAAGAAATGTGTAGGAGAGTCAAGAGGTACAAGAATAGACTTTGCTGTTTCAAACTGTAAATGGTAAACATGTTTTAATGTTCTGTTGGAAAAAGAAATAAGTTCCCTTCAAACAGAAAAGTAGCACAAAAGGTAGAACATGGTTGCCTGAGTTGCTAGCTTTAATTTTGCGAGGAGTGTTTTTTACATGGAAGTGGCACACCTCACCTGCTGATGGAAGTAGTGCAGTCCTTTTGGCCTGCATAGGAGTCTGCTAAGCATTCAGCTGGGCAGGAGCCCCTTCCCTTCCTGTCCCAGGATAGCATGGGAAGTGGCTCCCACCCATCATTCCACCACACGTGTGGTCCAGGCTATGGCCTCATCCTGGGCTCTGCATCTTGTTCATGTCGAAGTCGGACTGCATATGAACAACTGGCTTCTCGACATAGGAAGCATTTGAATGGCAGGTATCCTGCCAAGTGCTACACAATATATGGTTAGCTGTTCTCTCGCTAAGCACCGAGCCAGTTCAGGGCTGGTCACAAGTAGGGTCCTGATTCATGGAGGGCATGTGGCTCCAGAGTAGAACACTTGCTTTGCATGCAGGTCTCGGGTTCAGTCCTGACATCTTTGGGAAGGGCTGGAAAAGGTCCATCCTGAAGCCCTGGAGAGTCTTTGCCAGTCAGCAGCAAAAAGGCGGAGCTAGGAGGACGAAGGATCTTCCTGTGTTCCAAGTAAAATCAGCTTTTGTTCACATGCAGTGCTGAGGAGGTGTCTGTAGATGTGGTGACTGAATGTTATTTTGGATGCTTGGCAAAAGCCAAGACAGCGTTGACACACGCAGGCCCCAGCTTCTGCGTACACAGGACCTTGTTCATTTGCTTACGAAAATAAAGCCTCTGCTTTTTATGGCCTTTGGCCCTTACTTTCCTTCCTGCATCGAGGGCTGAAAAGCTTTTTATTGCTTAGAGAGCCAGCCCTGTTGCGTAACACCGTTTACCTTAAGCAGCAGTAAAGAGCAAATGCTCCAGCGCACCCGTTTCTTAGTGCAGTGTGTTCCTTCCAAACCTAATCAAGCTGATGGCAAATGACTTTTTTTTTAGTGTCTCAAAATAGGTATGTTTTCTTTGAACAGTCTTACTAAATGGTCAGTAAAAATGCTCAGTGGTGCAGTGTGGTTCCATTCTTGGGGACCTTCTTCACAGCCTAAATGTCCCATTCATCTGCAGGGGGACTGCTTCTAAACTCAGGTCACAGTGGCCAGTGACTGTGGGGCCAGACCCCATATCAGACTGTGGGTGATTATCCCAAGGATGAAGTTTACAAAGCATCATCTCATTCAGTTGCATCTCTATATTGCCCAGTAGCCCAAATTCTCCAGGCAGTGCAGAAACTTAACACCTTAAAAATACTGTATAAAAGCCATATACTTACAAGCATGCAACACACGTTTCTAAAAGAAATGAAATCCAGTAATAATGATCACAGGAGACAGGTAGGCCCATGCCAGGAGAATTACAATTCTTGCCTGGCTAACCTGCACTTCCTTCTCTTGAGCAGTCAGACAAAGTTGGAAAGGCCTTCAGATACTTGGACGCTGCCCTGTCCTTCATTGAGTGCGGCATCGCAATGGAATCCGATCCTTTCCCGCCAAAGCCTGCGTATACCATGTTCGCAGAGACCATAGACCTCATCAAGTAAGTGAGCTGCTCTCTCAGTGAGCCCTCCGCCAACGCGTTCCTTGGCTTTGCTTGCAATCGGTCTTCCACTCTTTCTGCATATGGCTGTGCAGGGGACCCAGGGGAGGGAGGGGCCTCAGCACAGTGCAGAGCAGGGGTCCTCAAACATTTTCAACAGGGAGGGGGGCAGTTGAAAGGCGGTGGCGGCACTTGCTTGCTTGGAGATCATTTTCTCCGAGCGAGTCCAAAACCTCTGAGGTGGGACGGATAAATGGGCATGGTGGGCTGGATCTGGCCCACGGGCCGTAGTTTGAGGAGCCATGGTGTAAAGCATTTGCTTTCCATGCATAATTTCTGGTTTCAGTTCTTGATATCACAAATGAAAAAGAGCAGGAAGTGCATACTGGGAAAGACCTTTGTCCAAGACCCTGGGAAGCTGCTGCCAGTCAGATGAGTTCCCACTTGCCTAGACTGAAAAATAGTCTAATGTGGTGTAAGGCAGCTTCCTCTGTTCTTCAGTCAAATGACGTTTTTAATTCACTGGGGGTGCAATCCTGTGCCCACTTACTTTGAAATATGCCCCAGCCAAGGTTACTCCTGAACAGTCAGGCACAGACTCGCAGTGTAAATCATTCCAAAATGTTTATCCTGCCAGCCAGACCAGATAAAGCTCTCACAGTGGGAAATAACAGTTGAGGTCAAATCTGCATTGGACTGGCTCCAAAGAGCTCCTTGCACAGAACAGAGGCTCTCCTGCTGGTACGTGGGGAGTAGACTAGGCCCCATCATCAGACTATGAAATAGTGGCAGGAGAGATTGCAGATTCCAGGCAACGGAGCTGTATGCCTCCCTTGCATCAATCAGGACAAAAAAAGTCTAATCTCCCATTACATAAAAGAAACACTTTCTTGTTACGTACGGTAAATGTTGCAGCTACTGGTAGATTATCAGTTTGCTTTAAGTTCCTTTTGGGGGCAATTACTGTGTACATGTTTTAAGTTTCATAAAAGCGTTTTAATCTACTTGCTTCATCTAGGCCCATCTTTTGCTGTAATACAACTTTATATCTGTTTGTATAGATCTAGGAAAGGAGGTCTTCAGGAAGGAAGAGGGAGGAAGTGGGAAAACACCATTGCACAAGCAGAGCCTGCAGTTTAAAGGTTCTAAAATAATAGTGATAGTAACATAGTGAGATGCTAAGACTGCAAAGAACAACAAAGCAGCCCTATCAAAGCGGTCTGGTGTATCAAGCATCAAACGGGTGTTGCTGGGTAGTTAAAAGATCCAGGCAACAGAATGTATGTGATCTGGTTGTTGTTTTCTTGCAACACGTATGCTAGTGCTTAATCTTTAAAAAGGAAATGCTGAGGCTTTAATCCCTGTGAGGTACATTCCAAGACTGTAAAGTATAAAGTCAGGCTTAATTGTTCAGTGGTAAGAGAAAATACTTGGAGGTACTTTATATCTCACAGTTCTTTTGGCTAAAATTGGTGGAATATTAATAATTCTGTTCATTCCATTTTGGTATGCAGAAACACCCCCCGGTTTCTGTTCCTTCTGCATAATGATCCATCATTTTTCGGTCCTCAGCAACTCCTCAAAATAATGAATTTTTTGTATTTTGCAAGTCTCTTCCGCTTTGTCCTCATTGAGTTCTCTCTGGTCCCCACCCACAATAACTTAATTAGTGCCATGGTATGACCAGGATTCAGCCAAGGATTCTGACTTAATACTGTGGCTAATTTTTGGGGAAAGTACTTCCAACCATGTACAAAGGGCCCTGGCTGAGAGAGGCTGAAAGATGGCACTCCAGGGTCATATGTTGAAAGAGAGAGTTGTTTATCTAAATATGTTTCCTTTTAAGTTGTATGTGGGCTATTTACAGAAGAAAAAATAAGCAAGCCAGTTTCATGCAGTGCAGAAGCCATAGAAAAGTTGGCAATCTATACTGTTTTACCATCTAAAAATGAAAACTGTTTCATTGCCAGTAGGATGAGCATCTGATGCTTCTGTTATTAAAAACAGGCATTTTTCTTTCTTTCTCACAGATTCATAATGTCATTAAAATCCTTTGCGGACTCCTCTACGACCACATCTGAAAAAATCTTCCTTGTGTTTTGGTGAGTACACCTTTGTTCGGCTTTCAAGCGTTCTGGTTTGAGAAATTAGCTTCAAAAAGTAATTCATTGATTTAAAATAAAATATTCATGGAGAACAGCTCAGCCTAGTCATGAGTTAGGTGGCTTTAGAAAAGCCTTTTGTCCTCGTTAGCCAAGCACATTGCCTGTTCTCGTCCATCTTCGGAATTGCAGGCTGTTATGGAAAAGAGCATTTCAGTAAAAGCGCTTAACAATGCAGTGTCCTCCTGTGCAGGAGTGTTGTGAAGACATTGGAGAAAGTGCATGTGAAGCCCTTCAGGAAATAATAACAAGTCTCTTTTTTCCTCACTGTGACCTTTGTTGGCTTGTGGGATCGGCTTCACTGTGTTATGCTGTACTCCCATTCTGCGGGCTGAGCACATGTCTTGCATGCACCGCGTCTTGAGTTCAGTTCCCTGACAGCATGGCTGGATCAGTTGCGTAGACAAGGGGCCTCTGCAGTGTGACCCAGCTGGTGTGGTGCTAAGCCCCAACAGCATCTCTGCTTAGAAGAGAGCCAGGTGACAAAGGGTAGGGAGTCACCCACCCGCACACACCCTGGATTTGAGAGACCAGTCAGAGAAGGCGGTTCCGGGCGAGGTAGGCCAGTGGCCCTCCACTACGGTGGCTTCACATATGCTCCTTGTCTTGTCTTTTCTTTTCACAGCATGCGCTGCCAAGCCATTCTGTATATGGCAATGTTTCGCTACAAAAAGGACACAGCAATAAAGTATTCCCGGACCCTTAATGAACACTTCAAGGTAGAGAACCAAAGCATCAGTTTGAAAAGAAGGATGATTCTTAATGCAAGTTCAGAGCGGGGGTTTTTTAAGTCCTGGAAAACAAGTCTTGAAGTTGGTTCCAGCAATAAACTGTGGCCAGGAGAATTGTTTGTTCAGGCAAATCATTGACTCGTTTCAGCAAACCCATGCAAGTTCATGGCTTTCCTTCTTTGAAAAGAAAAGACATTTTCTTGTGTGTTTTTCTTTTCTTCATGCAGTAAGGTATCAGTAAGTTTGCACTTCGAGGTTAGATTGCTCACATGCCTGAGCAGTGTTTTCTTCTGCTGGCCACTAGACATTAGCATGTTTCAGTTCAGGCTTACCAATATGAAGTTTAACCAGGATTAAGTACATTCCCCCTCCTATTCTGTTTTGTCTTTTCCCATGCATCTTAACGCAACAGGAGTTTAATTTCCTGGTATGTCCAAATTGACAGTTTGCAAACCAGTTTGCTCTTGCTTTGCAAACAGCACTTACTGTTAGAAGTTAAACTACATTTTCATCTGATAAACTCAAATTCCACTGGGAAACTGTCATCTAACAAATCCCTGAAGTCTTGCATTATGATGCCCAAATGTCAAACAAATTTTGGTTTATCAGACCGAAATAGTTGCATCTGAACTTGACTATTGTTATGGAAAAAATCGACTTAAGTCTGTTACTTGAATTCTGTAGACCTTCTGCAGGTGCTCCACAAGATCAGTGTGTTACCTTTTAATTCTTTTCCTGTACAATGTAGACTTGCAACTCTGAAATAACTTCAGTGCCCTGTTCCATACTTTGCATCTTTTAAGAAGGAAGCATAAATGCTGTGTTGAATGAATTTGTGTCAATTATGAGCTAATTACAGTTTCATTCCTTCTTGCAGAGTTCTTCTAGAATCACACAAGCACCTTCACCGTGTGTAGCAAGGTAGTACTTGCATATATCAAAATCTTTTTCTCAGAATTGAGAATTCACATGCTATCTACATTAGAATTTTAAACCAAATTGAAAGAGCTTTTCATAATCACAGCCAAAGCGGAAATCTAACATTTCTGTTGGGCTTTTCTCCTGAAGCGTGTAAATTAAGCTTTGAGAGCCACTGACCATGGAGTAAGCCCCATTGAATGTAATGGGACTTGCTTCTGAATGGGCGCATATGGAATTGCACTCTTGAGCTGCTCAAATGTGACTGTTGGAGCCTGGGTGGTAGCAAGAACTGGATCCTCTTCGGCCAAGTTCACTAGAGGGCCTTGATCAGTTTCTGGGTCAGGCTAACCTGTGCAATACAGTTGGGGAGGTGGGTCAGATGGCATAACCATGTTTGTTTCCTCATAGGAGGACAAAGGGGACTCTTAGGAATCAATATTTGTCAGGCTTTTACAAATATTGAGAGAGGGAGGGAGGGAGGGAGGGAGGGAGGGAGGGAGGGCAGGAGAGACCAAGTATACTGACATAGTACAAGCCCGTGTGATGCAGCGGTTAAGGATTTTATTTATTTTTTATTTATTAAAACATTTTTATGCCGCCCCATTCGCCAAAGCCTCGGGGCGGCTCACAACATTAAATTAAAATACAAACATTAATTTATAACATTAAGTTAAAATGTTTGTAAGATGCAAACATTAAGTTAAAATATAAAATGTAGGACTGGGACTTGGAGAATCCAGGTTCTAGTCCCCGCTCAGCCATGGAGCTCACTGGGTGACTCTGGGCCTGTCACAGACTTTCAACCCAACCTACCTCACAGGGTTGTTGTGGGGATAGGCTTAAGAGCAGGAGGAGGAAAATTACATAAGCCTTGTCGAGTTCTTTAAAAAAGAAAAAGGGTAGGCTAAAATCTAACCAGTAAATAAATAACTGAATAGATTGCAGCTCACCAGTTCTGAATTCATATTACATACTGCAAAAATACTCCAGGAGGTGGCAGGCTGGAAACTCACCTCTTCCGTGCTTGAGGGAAGTGGGGCTGGGCGAGGGAATGCTCGGCGATGCTCCAGGATGCCACCCAGGCCTCCCCCTGGTTTTGCACTGGCTCCCCTGCTGCCCAACCCAACAGAATTTCTCCATTCTGTGGCCGCTGAGCTTGCCGTGTCCTGGCTCGGATGCTTTGGGAGGGGGTGGTTGCCCATTAAATACCCCTCTGAGAATGCAGTGTGCCTACACATGCTGATCCCTCCCTCTGATTTTTGTGTAGCCCTGCGACAGCTTCTGCCCCGCGTTCGCCATTCATGTCTGCAGTGGGGGTGCTGATGCTGTTCTCTGCTGTGTTTCTCTGTTCAGGAGCACAGGGACACCTTCTCCTCTCTCCCCGATGCCCTCTCCAGCAGGCTCCGTCAGCTCCCAGACCGGCTCTAGCGCCAGCAGCTGTGGAAGCGGCAGCATCGGTTCTTCGGTCAACGTTCCCCATTTTATCCCGACCATCACCTCTTCCTTTGTCAACATCACTTCATACTTTCTCTATGCCTACGATCTCTGGGAACAAGCTGATGTCTTGGCCAGGAAGAATAAGAGTAAGGCTTTCTTTGCTTGTGTTCCCGCTGACGTTGAGTGTGTCACTCCCCAAAGCTCTGCTTGTCCTCAAGGTCATTTTGGCACGTCATTTGGCAAGACCATTTTGGCACGTCCGTTCTCAAGTCTCGCCTCAGAAAGGATTTCTGGGAGCAGAGCTTTGGTGGGACTTTGCCTGAAGAGCCTTTCAAGGTAGGCAGCAGCAGGTGAGGTGGACCAGTCCAGCGTGTGCAGAGAGCATGTGGAGAAGGCTGCCTAGCGCCTGTCCATCGCAGGTGTGCAAATACATGTCCCCGCTTTCACCTTGGAAGTGTTTTATCACTGCAAAGGCTGTTCTGTCAATCCATGGTAAACATTTTTGCTGCTTTATATGTGAATTGGCAGTAGTCCAAAACTGTTCATCTGCTCTTACTATGAAAATTATTTTTAAAATGGACAGGTTCAAAATGGGTGGATTCAAGAGGGAAATGGAGCATCCCCTTGAGGCCTGCAGCCAGAGACCAAGTGGCTTAATTGAAATCCACTGAGTGCATTCAGTGGCCGCTCGCTCGCTCGCCTGCTGTCTGCACGTGGTACTTTGCTGCTCCGGGATTCACTGACTGTAGTGCACAGGCACTGGTCACCCGCATGAGCAGGGGACTCCTTGCGCACAGGTGTGGGTCTGTCGGGCCAGTTTGGTTCACGAGGGCCAATGAAATTATTCACATTCTCAGGCAGGCTGTTCAGTAAATACAGAAAGTGACTGTGAGGAGCGGGGAGGAAGGGCTGGGCATGAAACGAGCTCCAAGCTCTACAGCGCCTAACAAGTTTCAGGTTTACCGAGAGCAGCTATCAGGTAGTCTTGTCTGTGCCTAAGCTGTCAGGTAGTCTTGTCTGTGCCAAAGCAAAACAGGATCTTTTGAGAGCTGCTGGGGCAAACCAGAAACCAGGGTCGCCACCCCCTCATATTTGGTCAGATCTTTCTTTAGCACCCAATACCAAGCACCCTTTTTGCACACACAGGTGTGTGCCCAAGTGCACACTTTCAGACATGCAGTCTTGGCATGTGGGGAGAAGGGAGATTTCACAAGTTTTATCTTTTATGAGAGAAGGAGGCTTCTTTGGGTCCGAGAGATTTCATGTTGGGCTGACCAAGTGCTGATCGTATGCTCCAAGGTTTGAGCTTAATTATTAAATTGCAAGCCATGGCAAAAACAGTCTGGGCTCTGTGAAGCAAAGGTATGCACTAATCTGGGGATAAACTGACTTGACTGCTTTCCTGTCTCTTAGCTTCAACAGGCAGGTAAAAATGTAACAGGCTAATAGTTTGAAGCTGCAGTTTGGAGCTTCATTGAAACTAGGATCCAAGGAGGGCAAAGAATTAAGCGATTAACTTTGAAAAACAATGGTCTCAGCAGTGGGGAGATGGCTTGGTAACAGGCCCACCTTTCTGCTCTGAGCGTCAGGCCTGTACTTTCCCAAACAGGAATGAAGCCTTCCTTCCCATGTCAAAGAGAACAGAATATTAGGGAGTCAAGCAACACATGGATAATAATACAGGGCCTCCTTATGAGGCAAAGAACAGAGGTAGAAATAGACAAATTTCATTTATTGGTCTTAAGTGTGGAGTTTAGAATATCTGCAGTATTCTTTAGGCTCTTAATAGTTTTGGGGAACCCTGCAGTCAGTAGTGTCCATTCGACAGTCATTCCTACAGTCGTGTTTCTCCTCTCCCCTCTTACTGTATTCTCAAAAGGATGAATCCACCATGCAGGAAAGACAGACTGGCAGACAGAATCAAAACCATGCCAGGAGTGTATCTAAATAACCTGCCATAAAAAGCAGAAGTCAATGGCCTGCATAAATGGCTCAGATTAAGCACATTAGCATGCTTTTTCTCACTTTGTGCAATTCATTCCACAGACCACGGGGTAGAGCAAGGAGAGCTGTACAAGGCACCTCTGAGAATCTCCAGCCATCAGTGGCATATTTTCAGATGTTTCCATAAGCGCTAGAAACTTGTCTAAGGGTTAACATAGAAGCCTAGATTCCCAAGAAGCCAAATCGTGCCTCGAGTACTGCCTGCGCTTTCTCTCCCTGCAGAGCTGTAGTAGGCATAGGTCCCGGCACATGAGCAGCAATATAGTTCTTGAGAAGCGAGGCTTTTCTTCCTCGAGTGTGTAAGTGCTATTTAGAAAGAGTGGCGTCACGTGCCATTATGTCCATGTGATGCCTCCGCTGTTCAGTGTGTAAGAAGCAAAACGTGATGCCTGGTTTCTTCCCTCGCCTCTCTCTTTCAGAATTCTTTTCCGAGCTCAATGCTGCCTGCTTCTCTCTTTCGCTGAACAGCAGCATGGCCGAACTGGTATGCTACACTCGCCAGGGTTTGCAGTGGCTGAGACTGGAACCAAATACGCCTTAACTGGTGCATCAGGGCAAGCATCTTGCCTTGGACTCCCTTGCACTTTGAACGCCCCAGAAACAGCCTTGTCGGCTGGCAGGTTGGATACAAACGAAAAAAAGCACCTAGAACAAATTAGAATGATGTGCGATGGACAGGGTCTGGTGCCACTGGAAACGTTAAGGACTACATTTCGATGGTGCCAATGGGCCACCTGGAAGCGAAGAAGTGGACAAGAGGCCTCAGAGTGGAGGATGCCTTTCTTTCTTCCTTTCAAAGGACAAAGTGCAATTTTTTCCATTTATTCTTTTTTTTTTCTGTTGTGGTTTCATTGTGTCAGTGGTCTATGAACATTTCTATCAACAAATAACCAGCAAGACAACAACAACGACAACAATCAGCGCAGATGAAGAAGTGCCAGTGAGAAGCAAATCCACCTCCCAAAGAATTTTGTGCAGCACCTCAAACAGAGCAGAGATGCCTGTGGGCCCAGAATAGGGTTCAGATGCAATGTTTGTGAAGTGCAAACCGCAGGTGCAATTTGTAGCATGTGTGCTTGTTCCTGGAGGGTGGAACGGGCGGAGTTGGGGGCTCATGAGGTGCATGACTCAACCTTCTCTTGCCAAACGCTCTTGCTGCCTCTCCACATCCCACTGGTAGCCATTAGTTGCACTACTGACCCTCCCTCTCGGAGTGGCTTGAGGCCACAGCAGGCCCGACAAGCTGCTCTGCCGGCCCTCCCAGGCCCTGCCCCGCCCCTCCCCTCCTCCATTGTCCCTGCTGCCTCTGGCAGTGACCAGCCCAAGCTGCCGTGTGATACTGTGCCTGCGTGGTGGTGCTGACAATCTCCGGAAGGGAAAGGGAAGTGGGCCTCGCTGCCAGAAGCCGCCACAAGCAGCGGACGCACGGCGGAGGTGCTGCAGGCTCCCGCCCCGTGAGCCGCCCGGCCGGGGTGCGGGCCGGCTCGCCTCCCAGCATGGTTAAGCAATGCTGCACTAATACATTGAACTGGAATTGCCTGCGGCGGCTGTGCACAGGGAAGGGGTGAGTCTCTGCACTAGGAGCAGCTTCCAAGGATTCTCTGGCTTTCTATGTATGGAGAAGAGGGGCCGTGCAGCGGGAAGGGTTTGTTCAGGCTGTGTGAAGACTATTTTCCGTTTGGGAGCCTTAAAATGGGAGGGATTCAGCAGCACACCATTCCATTTCGCCACCTCTGAACTGATGGCTCAGTTCCTGCTTCTGGCTGTTGGTGCCAGCATTCCACGTATGTTGACAGATTGTACACCTGCCCATAGCATTCGGCACAGTCCCGTTCTTTTAAAAGCAAGGGATCATGACATGTTTGGTGTACGAATCCCGGTTAATGGGGGTGCCTTCAGGGTGGCCTCCTGCTGAACCTCCCCTGGGCCCCAATCCGTTCAAATACATCGAAGACCCCGCTTTCCTGCCCTTCTCTCAGTGGTGCCTTAACTCTCCCATTTGCTTCTGTCAACCTCTGACTCCAAGGTAGACCAGTGGGAATATTTTCCAGGTACATGGTCCTTCAGCGTGGTGTTAGGTTTTCCTTTCCATATGACTCCCCAGTGCCTAAGCTAATCATTCCTATCTGTTTGTCCCGTAAAAACATGGTAATCTTCAGTGTAGGGTGTAAGCAGTATTCTTGTTTGAATGGACCTGTTGTGCACTTGCATACCTGTTTGCTAAAATGTCACTAAATTGTAAGGCCCCTGAATTTCCCTGAGGCGTTCACTGGCAGGGTATGTTTCTGAGGCACCTTCTGTGCAAATTTGGCTCATCTGCAAACACACCCCTGAAAAAGGACGGCACAAGGAAGGTTCTGCCACGGTCCATCTCAGAGAAGCTTCTTGGGGGAAAGTGACTGATCCCTGAAGTGGCTAAGCCCACTGTCTCCCATATTCTCCTCCTACAGCGTACACATGCCCACACACACACAGAGTCACTTGAGGTTGAACTAGACATGTGGGGAGAGCCTGGATTCCCACTGGGTTCCCCATTTGAACCAGCAGGCAGGATAAAGGACGCTTTCCCCCTGTGACGCAGTGCAGGTGGAGCTGCAGGAAGAGGAGGAGTGGACGAGCGCCCACACTCGCTTAGCAGTGCCCTGCTTTGCTTTGTAGACCGGGCATCCAGCAGCCAAGGGCTTCCCTTGAATGCTTTGCTCCATCCTTAGTTAGCAAGATGTGCTGGATACAAATTACAACCCCGGTTTCAGAAGCAAAGCCAACAAATGTACCTCTCAGGAATAGAGAAAAGCAAATCAAAACGTTGGACCTTCCATGCCATTGCATCCGTGTCTGTCTTTTCCTAGTGAAGGTTGCAGTGTAAGTGTAGGGTATTTACTCCCAGGGGTCTTACAGAGACTTGGCAGTGTCTGACCTTTTCCTCTTGCTTCTCAGCTGGGCCTAAGAGCCCCCCACAGCCCCCTTTATCTCCCTTTTGCAAGTTGTGTTCCCCTCTTCTGTCTGTGAGCTGACTGCGGTAGTTTCAGGATACGCTTCTTGTTCCTCCAACCTCCTGCACCCCTGAATAGCACCGGAATCACACAGCCCCGTGCTGTTTGTTCACTTTATCGCTGCCTCGGCTCTTTCAAATGACACCCTGGAGTTAAGAAGACCCTGCTGTCAAGGGATCCGCCTTAACCTGCTTGTTGAGCACTTTATCCAAGGGATAGCAAAAATCTGTTCCACTCCCTGCCCTGCCTGTTCGCCTGCTTCAGAATGATCAGTGAGAGTCTCTGCGTCAAGAAAGAAACCAGTTAATGCATTTATGCTGCTGATTTTATATGACTGTGGGTAATGCAAAAAGGAACAGCACCCAGATTTCAGAGCAAGGGCTTCTTTTCTCCCTGAACAAAAAAAGTTTCAATTCTGGTTTAATCTAGGAGGGCTGTAAGGCCTCTTCTAAGCCCAAATGGGAGCAAAGCTTCCTTCTTAATTTCCACAGAAGATGGTTCTTTAACCCAGCCTGCTGTTGCACATGCTGTAGTTTCTTTTAGTTGATGCGCAGTTGCAAAGAGGCAGCTGACCTGTAGGGATCACATTAGGAACATTATGTCCTCTTCTGACCTTTTTTAAAAAAAAATCTCTATATGAAAGAAAGACCAACTGAATGAATAATCAGAGAACAGTGATCAATGGATTGTCGTTTCATCTTCTTTCTAGACCTTGGTACCCCAGACCCCAGTGGAATTCCCGTTGAACTCAACAGGGCCTGGGGCCCAGCTTTCTTTGTAAGGAGCAAAAAATGTTTGCCATTTTAAACACAGGTCAATGGAGCTGCACACTCAAAGCAGCCTCCTTTCCCAGAAGATATTTATTTAGAATTATAATTAATGTATTTAAATGTTCTGTATGTCTAAGATACCATTATTTAATAATTTGCAAGTTCCATTGACACTGGAGATGTGGACTGAAAGAGCGACGACCATTTTATTTTCCAAGGGCAATTTCTCTTCTTTCCCTGCCCTCCCCCTTTCCATCTTGTTGCCTTGGTTTCTTTATAAAAATCTGTACATTTAAATTTATTATGGGGTGATGTGTCTCCATCTTGTAAATAACTTTTCTGCCCTGTATATTGGTGGTACTTGCAGGTTGATTTGTTTAATTCATGTGGGGTAATAAAATATCGAATGCAATGAGAATGGCTCTGAAAATATCCCTTTAACCACAAACAGTTTTAAAAACACCCGTGATGGCGTTTCATTGGCCAAGTGGATTGGCTGGAATGCTAGCCTCTCCAATTCCCAGCAGAAAATTCATGTATGCTTGGAAACTTGCTAGAATCATTTCGGTAAGAAAAAGTTCTCCATTGCCAGAACTTTTGAAGGAGGAGAGCTTGTGTTGCTAGCAGCCCTCAAAACTGAGCACTTGTAAATGGTGGCCTTCCCAGCCTCTTGTCTTCTTGCTAGTTGCTCTCTGCCGGGGATAGCAAGAACAGGAAGGAAAGGACAGCTCAGTGCTTTGCCTCTTCCAGTAAGTAGCAGGCCCTCAGTCCCCATCACATGTCTGCTTGTGGCCCCTCTGCTCGGCAGCTATAAACCACCCTTCTGCATTTCCTGCAGTGCCAGTGTCTGACTGATGTTGCTCCAGGACACTGGGAAGTTGTAAAATGGCCACCCTGGATAGACTGGAAGGGTGCGTGATGCACCTCTGCTAGGTGAATCCAGAGGAGGGGTGTGCGCAGCTGCCAAGAAAACTGGGCGAGCAAGACCGGTTCTGTCACCTTGTAAAGCACAGGAACTGGTTGGGGGACTCTGACTCAGCAGATCATAAATTACGCAAGCGTTCTTGCGGTATTCTAATAAAGCTTGCTGGAAGTTTTTTTGATAGAATTTTACCATGCAGGACAGGATCGATTTGGTGCTGCATCTTTCTGATCCTGCTTGATGCCAAGAGCATGAATCCTGCATTTTCATTTTGTTGCCAGCAGAGCCGTTTGGGCCTTGCTCCTGGATGAAGGAGGATGAAAGGACAGAAGGCCCAATAGCTCTCTGGCCCATTAGAGGTTATGAATGAGCCACACTTGAATTTCATGCTGCAGCACCAGCATTAACAACACAGTTTGTAGTCACTTTAAAATGGAAAGATGGAAGGGATTACACAGTGATAATTAGTCTCCCTAGCAGTAGCCACTGTTCTATTATAAGTAAACTAAAAATTGCAGTATAGAGCTTTCGTAATCTGGCTCAGCAATAGCCTTTTCTACCCACTCATTGCTTTTCTCCCCCCTCACCCACACCTGAGGACATCAAAGTTTGTTGGCCTAATAAAGGCATTTAACCTATATAGATTCAGGCATATAATTTTCACATTTAAAAAGTGAGTTATCTTGAGGTCACAGTTCTTAGAGCAGCTTCCTACACAAGCTTCATTATACCAGCCGTGCATTTGAGTTGCTCTCATTCCTTTCTGTGGGGCTTCTGCAGGGTCCGTGCCAGTGGAGGGGCAGGGACTACTGGATCTTGGCACTTAAGCTGCCATGCATCTCCTTGGTACCTGCAGCCTTTTGGTTGGATCAATGCCAGCCGCATCCACTCCTTGCATGTGCCGTCCATGGTAGGAAGATGGGGAGACGGTAATGCGACCAGGAGATGGAGAAATGTGTAGATAGTGTGGGGATGTTGCTCCTGCTCGACGGAAGAGTGACAGATGGCGCTATAAAGGGAATTGGGAGGCAAAAGTTTGGCATTTGCGGTGATGATGTTTAAAATCTGGGAATAAGAGTGAGAATTTAGAAGAAGAAATTATCTACCACAAGAGGCAGGGATTCAAGAAGCTGATAGCTGGGAGGGGCTAGGTGGGAAAAAAGGGGGAAATAAAGTATTTTGGAGGCATATGGGTAGGAGGGAAAACATCTATGCAAATAACCCCTAAACCCTTCTTGGGGGGGGGGGTCACTTCCATGAACTTGGAGATTCAGCTGGCCTGGTATTTCGCATGTTGGCTGTTTAAGGAGATTTGAAGTCTTTGTGGAGTTTAGATCTGCGACTCTGGAAAATCCCAGGGCCCTCAAGACACTGGCTAGGAGTCACACCGCTTCTCCAATAGAACAATTCATTAGACACTACATCTTTCAAAACGGTGCCTTTCATTTCTTTTTCACCACCAACCTTGGACACCATTTAGGCCTCCCCGACCTTTATTAGCTGCAGCAGCTGCTGTCAAGATTTAACCCTCCAAAAAGCCTGTTCAGTGATCAGAGTCTGTTGCGGGGAGGAATGTGGCAGAGGAAGCAATTCTAATTTTTGATGGCCAATCTAGTCCACTGTAGTGGCAGAAGAACAGGATTCCAGTGGGTAGAAAGGAGCTTTCTAAGTAGTAGCTGTGTGGAAAGGGAGCATTCAGCAACTGCTCTCAAAATGCTGCAGTGACTGCCATCTATTTATTATGCTTGTACACAACTCCCCCTTTAGAAAGGTTTTAGTGACTTAATTGGAGTGGCCAATGGCTTCTCGTTCAAACACTAATAAGATTTACACTTAAATATTATGTAATCACCATTAGTATTCAACTGGTGTGTTGGAACCCATCAATGAGTTGCTACCTGAACTAAATTGCATTGTAACAACATTGCCAACAACAGTATAAAAATAAAATCACAGAAAATAAGTTCCCACAAAGCATATTTTAGCTAAAGACCAAGTTATGAAAAGTTTGCAAACAACAGTCCCATGCTCTCTCAGGCATTCATAGATAGGCATGCGGTATGAAATGCAGCTGGATTACATTATGGGAACAAGCAACAGTGGACTGTATCATCCACAGTTCCTGGAGCTTTTACCCATGATGGGTTGCCATACCTGAACCCAGACCAGTGCTGTGATGGATACCAGAAATCTGTTAATGAGCCACCTGCCAAAAGCAGCAAAACCCATCCTCTGCTTTCCCCAAGGTCACCTGTGCTAGTGGGGCTTTGGGGTGTCTGACACTGGCTGGGTGCCTTTGCTGTGGTCCCCACAGCTTCTTTGTCACTTTATTGTTTTTCTGGAGGTTGTGGTCACCCGATTGACAGCTAGCATTTATAATCCTCTTTGTGGCAGCTGTTTGAAGGGCTCAGGTGGCACATGGGAGGTGCTGCCAAAACTGGATCCAACCTCATCAGAACATTCACTTGACGCAGCTTTGTATCGCTAAAGCCATTTCAGGTATAGTAATACCAGCATTTGTGGCCTGCCTTTTGATCTACAAAGGTTTGCAAAGCAGCTGATTAAAGGCTCCATTAAGGCTATATTAACTCCTTAATATAAAAGGAGCGACCCAAAATCAAGATACAAATGGAGAACAGAACACCACAGGAAACTGATAGCTAATTAAGTTTAGCAGCAGGAAATAACCTCTTTGAACAGTTAATGAAGAAAGTGCCAAATGGGGATTGAAATGCATCCAAAGACTGACTGAGGGAGGACTGAACTTCCCCACACATTCCTCGGGCAGTTGCTCCATTAGCCGGGTGCCATGTCAGCCATATCCAGGTTGGTGGGAGTTGAAGCACTTCCTCCAAGGAAGTGAGCAGATCATTCAACTCTCCTGGATTGAGGCCATACATGCAAGCTAAACTTGCACTCATCTGTTGGGCTGCGCCCTTACACAAGTTGATCGGGTCGTAAGAGCCATTAAGCTCAATGGGACCTGCTTCTAAATAGACAGTGCCAGTCAGTTAGTATTTTTATTGTATAACTTTGGTTTTGTTTGTAAGCCGCCCCAAGGCTTTGTTGAGATGGGGGCGGCATAAAAATGTTTTAAATAAATAAAATACAAATTCCTGAAGTAGGCACAAAACCAATGCAAAAACTCACAACACTGACCTTTCAGTGCTTCTGCCTGTAACATCAATGGAAGGCGGTTCCACATCAGCTGTGGAATATATGAGGCACTGCCAGACTTACACTAAACAGCATAGTTTGCTATTTCAGACATTACATTTTAAGGCCATTAGCTTCACAGCACTGGTGAAATTCTTCTGTGGCACACAGCCAGCATGGTACATTTACAAACTACCCCCAGGGTTGCTTGCGGCTTGTAATTGATTACTACAAAGCATTTTCTGCCCAACGATCTTGGCTTAAGGAGTAATTCCAGAGTGCTCCTCAGCAACAATTAAAATGCTTCAGTTAACAATGTAGTGTTGTGCAGTGAAAGATTTTTCCCAATAGTCCATTTTTTTTCCAAATGCTGAATACAGGTTAAAGACTAACTGCTTGGTAAATGTTCCTAAAGTGCTTATTTTGGCAAAGAAAGATGTCTGTATATGGAACCCTCTTGGTATCAAGAGACACATATTCCCTCTCTCATTCTCTCCATCTTACATGGCAAGAACACCAAGGCTCGATCCAAGGCTGTAAGTCACTGTGAAGTTCAAAACTCTGCTTTGAAGTGTCTTCAGAGTGAATTAAGTGGTGCACATAAATTGGGGAAGGAGAAAACAGCTCCAGATCTAAGCACTGGTTTGTTGGTTCCCACAGAAAGAAATCTTGCAACACACATAAGCTTTGCAGATGTCGCTCAGGCAGCTAAAGCAAAAGTGATTTAGAAGACCAATAATGTACTATGGTTAGCCAAAAAAAAAAAAAAATGGGGACATGTACACAGGATCAATTCAATGCCCGGGCATGACGAGCTTTTTAAGAACCAATCATATCGGACTCCACCAGTTTGGTGCCCTCCAAATATTTAGGTATTGTATCCAGACCACCCTTCAGCAAGCAGCATCTCCTCATTATGCTACATAGTGGTTGACTTGCGTCAACTGTTCCTCTCCTTCTCAGCAATGATTTCTTGTTACCGGAATGGGACAAATACCCGTTTTCTTGCAGCAATTGCTCAAGGAGCTTAGCACATCCACCCCTCCACTGCCCTAGCCCTGGTAGCGGGTTTTAGCTTCCAGACTATTAGGTCTGTTCTGCTGACACAGTAGCACATTCCAATGAATCCATTTTTAAGGATGCAACAGCACTTTCTATCTAAAGCTGAGCTCATAGGTAGCCTATGGCATCTTCTTAAGTTGGACCAGGATGGATTGTTAAAACTAGCCAGCCATGTTTCAAGCCCCAGTGATTCAGAGTGAGTTTCCAGATAGATACTTCTCTCCTATGAAAAGTTATGGCTCTTTCTCTCCCTCTACTGAATGAAATTGCTTACTGCAGCTTGTTGGAAATTAATTTGTGGTGGGGGGGTGCGAGAGAGGGAGAGGGAGAGTTATATGCAGAGCATAGCTACTTGAGGTATTCCCCAAGTACAACATCTAACCTGGAGCCCACGTTTGCAGAAGGAAAACAGCCAGCTCTGGGTCAGACCCCTTTGGAGGATCCTCATTTGATCAGGTCCCAAAGACAAGGCAAAATGCAGCAATTCAAGGTTGTGAGGGTGATGTCTGGCTGATCTGTCTGGCCAGGCGGGCATCCCCTTTCTCGCTCACCTCTCCAAACACATCCTTCTCAAACCCACATGCCTGCTGGAAGGGGACGGCCATCCCAGACAGGAGGAGTGCTGCTCTTCAGTCGAATGTGTGCAACTGGCACGGCATTTCTTTAAAAATGAAATTGTTATAATTGGATGAAATGGGCAGATGTAGTAATCCCTTAAGAGGGAATTGTGCCTGCCAAATGTTTAAAAGGTTATTTGCTATGTAGCTTTATATTGCTACTTATTTCAACTTTTTTTATTTCTTGGTAGATTAGTGCAGAATTTCCAGGGTTGGCCCTTCTGAGCAACTAAACCTGCCAAATCGGAGATGGATTTTGTGCTAGAGCAACTTTTACGTACTAAGTCCATTCAAAGCAAAACACACGTATCCCATGTTATTCATGGGTGATGGTTCTGAAAATCCCATTCAGCCTACAAGGTAACCCCTAGCAAGAAATACCCACTGTCAGAAGGATGGGCGGAAGTCACTTCTTCTGCCCTAGCTCAGTTTGGAGGGCGAATTTGTATGAAAAGGTCACACAGACAAGCAATGTTCCCCGGAAGCAAGACTACAAGGTTTCAAAAGACTAGGTTGCAGGGGGCTAAAGAGTTACAATGACTGAAAATCAGGTTGAGGATTTTTTAAAAATAACAAAACATTGGCAGTGGAAATATTTTTCACTGCAGAAAAATGACTGAAATGATGTAATAATTGAGGAAAAAATGCACAAAAAATTCATTTTTGCTCACAAAACATGTTCTTCCATGCCCCTACCATGAATGCCAGTAGATGCTTGCTGAAAATATTTGCAGGCCATCAAACACATGCTTATATTAATTCCGTTCCTAATTTCAATATGTGCAAATTTTCTAATTCGTGCAAATTTCTTTCATAGACTGAATCAGTCCCAGTTTAGACTATGGAAAAAATTTGTTCAAGTTATGAGAGGTTTGCCCAAATCTCCTGTTCAACAGTTGCTGGACATGCATCAACATCCCGTTTGTGCAAAGCAGTGATCACAAATGCAAATCAGAATCAGGCACAAATCAGCTTTCTGAAACATAAGGTATTTCTGGACTCAAACTACCAGCTTATTGGAAGGATGCCAGTAAACTAGCTAGAAATTCATACATTTTATTGTGTGCTTATGAATTCTAATACATTGGGCAGAGTAAAATATATAAGAGATGTAAGTCTATTAGAGAGGAATATGAAAAGTATATTAGAGAAGTAATCAGCTCAATTCTTGTTCCTTCTCCCTCTTTTCCTATTTTAAAAGGGAGTATGATGCATATGACTAAAGCACTATTTTTCACCACGGATTAGCTTCTGCAACAACCAGTTTCACTCTCAGTAATATACCCTGGGGCTTTAATATCTATCCCAAAAACACATCTCTGCAAAAGGAAAACCTCAGAAAAAAAGGTAGGTTGCTTACCTGTCCTTGCTGTTCTGAATGTGGTCATCTGTGCATCACACACCTGGGTCCCAGGCCTGTGTGAAGGCTCCCTCCAGGAAGTTGCTATAGTAGTGAATGCTTTAGTAGGACCCTCCCCCCACCCTCATTGCTAACTTCCATCAGATGCTCCTATCCCTTTTGCTCAGGTCCCTTCGGGACCAACAGCCTGGCAGTGTTAATTTGCTGGCAGCAGAGGTAGGAGGCTTCCGTTTGGAAGATCCTGACTAGTTCCCTCGGTTCCTCCGGAAGTGGTCACAAAGGGACCTTATTTTGTCGCGGAGGAAAAGCTGGTGGTGACCCATTGCTGCCTGATCATTGGCAACATGTAGACCAAGGACAGCAAAGGAATAGTGATGCCATGCCATTAGATTTAGGTGATGGACCTCCTCGTCATTTGAAGCAGTGGGGATGGAGGTCAGAACTGGCAGCGGAGGGTGTGATGCATACATATCCTTCTCCAGAAGGGAGGTTACTGGGATCAGTTCTGGGCTCAAAACCAAGGGCTCGGTGGTTTGCTTAACTGCAATAGATGCATCTGAACAAACAGCTGCTGAAGATCAGGCCTTGGAGTGCCACCTTACAGCTCTTCAACTGTAAGGCATTCGAGGATTTTACTGTTTTGGCTTTCTTCACTCACCTTTTGGCTGCAGGAAACACTGGAAAACATCTAGGCAAAGGGGGTCAGTCTGGCCCACGGCTAGAGCTGACTGGGGGAAGCCAGTCCAACAGAAGAGGCTGGAGGCTCTGAGGTGGAAGGACACATTGCTTTTCCATTGCTCTCTGTGAACCTACCGCCTGAATAGTTTTGCACATGGTCTGCTCTAGTCCTCCAAGCCCACCACATAAAAGCCTGGCAATGTGAGCCAGTCAGTGCGGCAGTCTTCCCCCACACAGAAAAAAAAGTGTCTGTGTTGTGCTTCTCCACAACACACGGACTTGCGGAAGGCAGCCTTAAGGGCCATACAACCTCATAATGGAGGCAAACAAAAGACTAATGATGACAAGCATAAACGAAAGCATAGAACAAGCATTCAGCCAGCAAAACACATCAAGAAAGTTCCTGCATTTGACAATAGTGGTGAAAGAACTAAAGGAAATGGGCAGGGACCCTCTGGGATATGCTAGCCAAGACAGTGGCAATAAGGTTACCACCCATCCTCAGCAAAGGAACTTCCCAAAGGCTCCACACAGGCAGAACATAAACACGTGATGTAGAGACCACGGCGTGGAAACTAGCACTGGGAGTTTCTTCTGTTGCACGTCGATTCCTGCAATAGGAAAGACTACCTACTCGGCTTCTAAAGATGTCTTCTGGTTTCCCAGGAAAATCACAGGAGGTAACACTATCTAGCCATACATTCCAGGATGGTACTCTTGCTTTTGCACTCTCCTGAAATATGCTGGATACTGTACCAAACACAAGCCTTTCAACAGCACTCTAAGAAATAAAAGTTGACAGCAGCAGGAGGCAGAACATCTGCCAAAACAAACCCTCAGACCAGAGGGTTTTTCATAATTTAGTCTGTTCCAGTGACGCCACCTCCAATGGACATGAGATGAAGCTCTCAGGTTTATCTACCTGTTTGATTCTAGCTGTTGTAAACCACCCAGAGAACTTCAGCCAGTGGGTGGTATAGAAAATAAATTAATACCTACAATATGTACCTACATAAAATCTTGTCATACAACCAATTTTTGCATTCCACATTGAATTTGCTTCTAAGAAATAAATGCACAAGGCCAGACAATAAATGATTTTTATTACAAGATTTCTGCCTTCCATACAACACAGCATGCCACTTTATTCTGTATTTTATCCACTGGATTCTACAGACTTACGCAAACACGTTTTCGAAGAGGCAGTGCAATAGTAAAGCAGCTATCTGTGCACTTTGTGATACAACTACATACAGGGAACCACTGCTTAACTGTTTCTCCAAGAAACACAGTATTTTTATGCCCATATTGTACTCCAAGCCAGCTTCATCCATTCTAAATGGTTTGGGCATAGAACTTTGGTTCATACACATTTTCCCCACATCATTATCACCAGTTCGAGAGAGGTGAGATCATAATTTCCTCTTGCAATTTGTGTGGAAGCTGCTCCCAAATCACACTCTGTACAACAAGATGACAATTTCCTTTATGAGAAAAGCTTCATTAGTGCTGTGCTCCTTGCCTTGTGTGCTTTTGCCACTTCAGGTGGAACCTGCCCCAGGGTAGTCTTATGATGCTTATTTTTAGAACGAAGCTGTGCAGAGCCTCGCGTACACAGCTGCAGGGGCCAAGTGCAAGGTAAGTGCTGCATGGGCTGAGAGCAAAGGGGGAGCAAAAGAAATACCAGGACCAAAGAAATTCAGAGAAGTTCTGATGAAGAAGAGGAGATGGGGCAAAAAGAGGGTGTGCTACTTCAAAAACCCATCTTCAAAGCAAAAGTAAATGTCAGAGCATAAATAACTGAAACTTTCAGCTCATTTGCATTCAGTTTAATTCTGTCTTTCCTTCTCACAGGACTATTTACTGTGCCATATTCACTAACCGTCATGTTGTCCTCTAACGAATGCTAGCCCAGGCCACTTGAAAGGCCTGATCGCCTGAAGCAGAATTCCAAAGCATCAGCACTCAACCAATGTTAGGAGGATATGCAGAGGAACAGGCCAACCTGGAGAGCACATGCTTCCTTATGCACAGCTTCCTCCCTGCAGGTCCTGGACTCATGTCACAAAAGGCTGTGAGTTAGCACATAACCATGGCTTTGTGATACAGCAAGCCTTTTGCTCAGATGCCTACAAATATTCTCAAGGGAACACCTTTATCATCTCAGAAAGTTTCCACAAAGGTGCTTCAATCCTCCCAAGAAGGCCCGGTACAAAGCTGTACTCTCAAGCGGGACACAACTTTGATCAGCTGTGTGATGCAGGATGCAGTGAAGCACTGTCAGAACCACAACAAGGCAAAGGCATTCAGGATATGGAGAGAGAGCTGACAAGGGAGGGAACAAGAAAGCAAGATGCAGCTCCTTGGTCATCTGTCAGGTACACCCTTTCTAGGGCAACAAACCATTGCTTAAATAAATCATGGGCTTGTATTATATGTGAACGAGGCCATTATATTTCTCTTTTCAGGAGATCAGCATCCACAGGGCTGATTTGGGATTGCACAGCGTGACAGCCAAACACATTTATTCATAAAAGAAATAGTTTAGTATATACAAATATACTTGTAAATATACAAGTCTTAGGGTAATCCTATGCGTGTCTGGACAGAAAAAAGTCCTACGCTTCCCAGTGTAACTGACTGGAGCAAGCTGGTAGGTACAGGGTGTTTTTCTGTCCAATCATTCATTACACTTCATGTGTTGACTGTTGCTTTAAATGTCAGTAAAAACATTCTGAATGATGGGCTTGAGAAAAGTACAGAGACTTGAAACACACAGGTAGCACTTTCTCCAATATCCAATCTATATGAGTTACAAGATTCTTGAGATCAAAAGCCCTTACCTGCCTAATTTACTATGAAAACACTGCAGGGCACATTCTGCACCACACTGAGGCTCCTTCCACCTTTTTTCTAAATCTTTACTGATTCAGTAAGCCTTAAAAAGCTGCCATGCCATGCCAATTCCCATATTAAAAAAGCTTCTGAGTATTTACAGATACAGGTGGAAAAATTCAAAATGTCTTAGCAAGATGATTGTGAAGGTTTGTAACATTTCACAGCAATCACCAAACTGACTTTGACTTCAACCCAAATTCACATGCAGTCCACCACATTGCTGGATCCTTGACCCATGTCACGGATTTGGCTGCCAAGACAAGCACAAACAGCTACTCCAGCCCCAGCTCTGCAGTGAGATACAGAACCCACAAGCTCCCACCTGAAAAAGAAGAAAAAAACAAGTGAAAAAGTTATGAGATTTCCTTAAATGTATACAGCATCTTGAAAGTGCAAAACAGCTTAGCAAGAAGCATCTATACGTGTAAGTGCACGATCAACCGCACTCTTGATGTTCAGAAGCCCCTGAATTGAGAGGCTTCCAATCATCCAATGCAGGGCGAGAGTAGCAGCTACAGCAACCTCCCCATCCTCCCACCCTACATGTTTTGCTAGATGGGCATTCCAATGGCACCATTTCAAGCGGAGAGGGATGGCGGCTGGGGAAGCATCAGGATAACTTGCATAGACATTATGCCCCTCTTTTGCTGTGATTTAAATAAGCCACAGTGGCCTGTCTTTTTCACTGTGAACACCAGCTCTCTGTCAGAAAAAGGTGTTGCAGTAACAGGCAGATGGAATGGGAAGGAGGATGCATGGGTGTGCAAACCTGCCTTCCAGCGACGCACACGTACACACAAGGCATGGCACTTGTTCTCCAGCATCTGCACTGCCTTGCCCATTGCCATGCTTCAACGTGATGGGCATCGCTAGGGCTGGAAGAAACAATCTATGTCCGGTCAGTGTCAGTTCTGCATACATTTCAATCCTAAGACCATTCCATTCAATTTCTCATCAAAAAACTTTATGCTGAGCAGAAAACTACTGGCTTATTTCCCCAACTTTTACTTATTTCTCTGTTCTTAAAAGTTAAAGCTACCAATCTAGAAACTGGGCCTGGAATAACCTGAAGAGGGAGAGGTCCCCACACGGCTACATTCAACAGTATCACAGTAACTTTCTATATAACAGAAAGTTAACATGATCCAATTTTCAGAACATTTACTCATTATGTATTGATCAGTTCCAGTGCTTTATATGTTGATCCAATGTAAAGAACCAGCTTAGAAAGAGCAAGGAAGTCTTAATTTACCTGTTCACCACAGGATCAAAAGTTTCCACTGTATTCAGGTAAGCATTTCCATTATGACCTCCAACAGCAAAAATTTTGCCCATTAGTGTTGCTATGCCAACCCCACCCCTAGGAGTTGTAAGTTCTGCTACGTATTCCCACTTATTACTGCGAGGGTCGAATCGTTCAACAGAGCTAAGTGGAGAATTGTCGTCAAAGCCACCTGCATGAAATATACAAAGATATATTTACACATAATATATGAGTACACACATACACAGACCCACAGGCAAATGAAAAGTCTTCTCAGACTAACACTGCATGGCTAAAGCTATTTGTGCATAGCAATTTTACCATAATTTGTCCCGAAGCACAAAGTACACAATGCTCTCAGCACAAAAATATGATGGCTCCATGAACTTAACTCCCGCAAGACTTAAGTTAAGCTTAATCCATTACCCAAACAATGAGTGCATTCACAGACACACTACTCCCCATGGGAACTCTGCCCATGCAGAGCAGGTAAAATTCATCCATTCTCCCAAATGTCCATCCCAAATTTGAAGGCTTTAGATCCCTGAAAAATATACTTTTTAGGTGCTATTAAAAAAGTAGGGGTAGAGGGAAGCACCTTTGCTACAGAATCTTCAGGTTATCTGTGGGGGAATCAGGTGTCCACAGGAGGTGCTTAGACTGACAGGTAAGGATCAACCAAGGCACTCCATTTTCCTCACTGAAAATCAAAGGATTGTGCTCCTAAGGGGGATTCAGGGATACAACTCTATTTGACAGTGCCTTCCCTGCAGGTACCAAGAATTCTTTCTGGGGGCAGACACAAGATACTCCCCAAATTAGAATTCATCCCAAAGATTACAGTGCCAGGACAGTGGAAAAATCCTTGATAAAGACCATTATCAGGGAAACTCAAAGCTTGCCATCACAAGCAAAAGGTAGGGACAACCAGGGGCAAAAAAATTCTGCCAAAGATCGAGGAGGAGCAAGGCCATGGTATTATCAGTTGCCAAGCAGGTTTTGCCATAGGTTTTGGCAGACTAAGCAGAATCTGTTGCCAAGCAATGATGCCCCAACACTTATCTGAACAGTAAGTAAAACTGTCCAGTTTAATCCTAAGATTTGCCAGCAATCAGCACTGCAGCTCAGGTATAACTATTTCATGTAGCTACCCAAAGGGTTAGGTCAGAGCACAGCTACAGGGAAATGTTGCAATCTACATGAGCATCTGAGCAATTCTCACCTACTACATATAAGCAGCCATGGAGCTCGCTAACCCCATTGCCAGCTCTCCGCTGACCCATCTCTTTCACTTCTATCCATTTATCCAGATGAGGATCATATTTCTCCACACTGGAGAGAGAAGCTACTCCATCATTCCCACCAACAGCATATACATGATTCTGAAAAAGAGGAAAATATCAGAAAGATTCTGTACTGAATCTGGACCTAAGTGGAAATTAGCAAGCACTTCTGCAACAAAAGTCATGGTTCCAGCTGCTTTTGCTTTACAAAAGAAGGAACAATTCTCCAGCCAATCTTTCTAACCTTAGCTAAGACTGCAAGCATATAATCATCACCTCAAAGAAACTAAAGCACTAACTCCATGACCATCAATCACTTTCACTGTTGCCAATGGAAACTTTAATGACATCTAAATTGTATTTATTTTGTATTAATAATTATATTTATACAACCTGGAATCCAACTTAAAAACAAGTTGTAGCTCTGTAAGAAAAGCTCGTATTTTTTACTCGCAAAGTGTTTTACCTTGTGCCTTTGGTTAAATAATTACCCTGCCTCCCTATTCCACTTCTCACCCTCAAATCAATCTACTATTTCATTTCTTCCCACAAAGAACCATCAAGAGGTACTGATCCTGATTATAACCTCAACATAATTTAAAGTTATAGCAGGCAGGACGGAAACATTTTACACTTTCCTGCCCTTTTAACAGAAACACCGTTGCTTGCTTACCACAAGAGCCACAGAGCCAACTCCTCCCCGAGGTGTATTCATGGGCGCTACTCCACTCCAGTGATCAGATTCAATGTCATACCTCTCTACCTCACTGAAGCAAGTGTTATCGTCTAGGCCTCCTATGGCATAAATGGGGCCTCCAAGAGAGGCGAGAGCAATTCCTCTCCTAATAAAGCAACACACCATGGTTAGCTGCCAAAATCAACATAACAGAAACTGGTGATGCTAGTTACCAGCATAATTATTTCTAATCCATTTTGGAAACTGTTTTACAGAGTACAGAATATAGTAAAACTCCAAGCAGCAAACTGCAATAGACTTTCTCCAGACTTTCTTTCTGCTACATTCAAAAAGAAAACCAGAAAAGCTAGAGCAGTATGCATCAGTAGTAGGTAATGTTTAAGGTGGCCCGTGATCCATTGCTAACGATGCTATTAAGGGGCAAACTTCATGTTCTGGAGCATTTCCAAATTTGGAATTCAAACAAATTAAATTAAGATGCAATAGCCACAAGAGAGGAGACACCTTTCAGTATTCAGTATTTAACATTCAACATCAACATTCCTTCATGAACTAGCCTAGCTATAACTACTAAATTTAAGATTACCGCCTGACAGCTCATTCTTCTTTTTCCTTTTCCATTCTCTTTTTCACCTTATTGCCTCATCTCCTGTTTTCTCCTTCCATGCTGCATCTCATTTAGGACTGTGAAACTGGAAGTACTGAGTAGGTTGAATTACACCTATGTAACTACCTGTCTGATGTTTATCTCTGATAAATAGTGATCCACACAAATTTCCTTATTGTAGCTAGGAAGTACGCCTCAGTTTTACATACCTCTTTGTATTCATTGATGCCTTCATCATCCATTTATTTGTTAGGGGATCAAACATTTCCATGCTGCCTAGATGTTCATTTCCATCATGCCCACCCACTGCATAAACTTTACCTGAAACATATTGAATTTTCTGGTTATCAGACAAACTGGTACACATCTCAAAAAGAGAAATAAGACCTGCCTCTTGCCAAAATAACTCTGCTCAAAGGTTAAATAACTGAACTATCACAGATATGAACAGCAGTATCAAACTGTCTGTGGGTGCTTTTTTTTTTTTTTTTTGTCACACAGAATCAGACATTTCTCTCTTTGAATGAGGGCACTTTTTCTCTCCAAAGGATAGTTACTGTGTAAGAACAGTATTTATACAGCACACATTCTACAGCCAGTAAGAGAACGTATATTCAAAGCAGTTTACATGCATGACCTTGTTGCCCCCTTACCAGAGATGCCCCTCTCACTAGCATCTCATGTGCATCTGGAGAGGACACAGGAAAGAGCAGCATTGCAGCTTTGAAACTCCCTTCCCAAGGGGATTAGTGAGGCCCAATATCCAATAACCTTTTATCAGCACGTGAAAACTTCTCTCTTTTAGCAGGCATTTAACCTGCCACCTTGTTAATGCTTTAATTCTCCTGGTTATTGTTGACTTTCTGTAAATTGAGCTTGTTGTTTTTCCTCTGCTTACTGTTTATATTTCTTTATTACTTGTTCTTGATGGTTTTGCTTCTGCTGTGAGCTGCTCTGGGCATTTTCTTTTAAGGGCAAGGCAGGATACAAAAACCACATCTTGTAAAAGAGAACTTTACTGATAAGCAGATTATTTTGGGTTTGAATGAAACAGCTGAGCATGCCAAATGTCTAGAGGGCTAAGCAAAAAGCAGGATGTCCTGCTGGCAGCTGGAAAATACAGTTGAACAAGTCTTGACTCTGCTACACCAGGTCAAGTAGATCCACAGTTTTAGCCACCACACTAGAGCACTTCTCAAATCTTGAAGCAAAGTTTACATTATTTAATGTAATAATATTACATTATTTTTTCAAGTATTTTCTGTAATGAAGATCTACAGCACATAATCCAAATCAAGGGAAACTGGAAGGGCTCAGGGACTGGACAATGTAGTACAATTCTGGGATCCAAAAGCAACCTCAAAGGATGGTCCCTTTTGATCTGTTATAAGTTTATGTTTATTAGGACACAGTAAAGAATACTGGTGAGCTGCCAGTATTGAACTTGAACTTAGTGCGAGCTGCTATGATTAGGACCAAGCTGTTAATCACGTTTTTAAGCACGAGAGGGGACCGCTCATTGGCTACCTCAAAGCAAATAAGCAATCATTTCCTGGAGAACAGAAACAATTATATCTTTCTATCACAAGCAACTAAGTATTTTGTACTATTTTATACACAAAGACTGTAATTTTGGTTGACAGAAAGTCTGACTTGAACTACAATGAATTTTATAGTGATCTTAAAACAGAGTTTCCTTTTTACCAACCTCCCACAGAGATCACACCGACATGCCTTCTCCTACTGTTCATTTCAGGGCCAAAAAACCAGCTGTTCTTATTTATCGAGTAGCATTCAATGCTGCGAAAAGGGTCACCAGACCCACCACGACCTCCAACACAGAAAAGGACACCTAACAAAAAAAAGGTGCAATTTGCTAAGAACATCATACTCATTACTTGCTAGATGGCAAAGTAGTAAAAGCTGTGCACAGCACACATCAACTTCCCCACTAAAACAAATTTAAACAGAAGAACTTGGCTTGCTTTACTTTTTTCCTTCTTAAATCTTTTTCAGGAAATACAACAGAGGGGGAAAAGGAACATATAAGAAGAAAAATAAAAAATGGAGGAGCCAAGTGTCTTTCTAAGGATTTAACAAGCACCTCCTTGCTTGCTTGGTTTACTTAAACTTGGTCTTCTCAATATGCCACACTGACAATTTGTCATTCAACAGTACACAGTTAATAATTTCACCCAGACTCAAGTGGACTGATATTGTTATTGTGCATATTTCAGAAAGGGATTAAAGCTGGAAGAGACAAAGACTTCATGTCACAGAGGCAAATCTTATTTAACCCATTGCTGAGATACATGGCCTGTTGCTGAATTATGGGCAGCTTAACTCATAAAAAACCTGGGCTTGGACATCACACTAACAATGGCAGATTGTTCATACAAACCAAAAATGGATCATGTGTTATTCATGTCTATGCCAGCCTGTCCTATGGATGAAAAATCCACTGGCTTGATTGGCTTCAAGTTCATATGCTCCTCCCTCTCTTTCCAGGGTAGACTCTGTTTCCTTTTCACAAAGTGCAGTTTGCTGTTATATTAATACTTTGTAAATTATGACTTCCTCAGATCAAGAAGTCGGGGAGAGAACTGGATCATAGGAGAAGAGGGATAAAGTATGTGGTGAGCACAGGGCAAAGGACAAACATGAGCTATGTTGCATAAAGCCACCCACTTCTGAGATCCTGCTTTCAAGAAAAACTGGAAATATGTATCTTAAAGTTACCAAAGCAAGATGTTTCTTAGCATGTATTTCTCCGTAGTTGTGGGCATTGCCTCTTGATGGGTTTGTAGAAGAGTGTATGTAGTGTGTAAACTCCAAAGAGGTATTTTATCTGTTATACCCAGAGGTGGTCTCCAGAGTGAGTGTCCCTTTTGCTATGTGGCTCACTTATCTGGGCTATATTACCGTAGCTGGTTGTCCATCTTCTCCCAAAGGACGCAATCCTCCCACCACAAATCATCACAAAGGTATCTGCGTAACATTTGGATTTTAAGGCCTGCTACCTTTATGCTACATACACTTATCAGATGTTATGTATACATTATGACTAAGGCTGCTTATAAAACTAGCCTCATCACTACAATTTGTAACATGATAAAAGTGTGGTTTAAAATTATTTTAACAAATAAGATGAATTACAAAGAGCTACATAACAGACATTTTGCAAGTTTCTACAGCGCTGGTGCATCAGAAACCACTTAATTACCGGCAGTGTGTTTCCTTGGTGTCGTCCGGACAGAATACTCAAAATCTGGTACTGTATGACTGCTCATTTGAAGATGGTAGTTTCTTGCTTCATCCAACAAGTCCCTACATTTGAGGTTCTGCTTGACAATCTCTTCTTTTGCCACTACTCCCATGAGAAAACAAATAGGCAACAGAGGCAAGCGCACCTGGGAAGAACAGACATTGTCATTGATCAACTGAACTGGCTCTACCAAATCCCAAATTAAAGGTTGTTGGCAAGTGTGAGGCCACCAGAGATACCAAAGGAAAACTGCCATGTTCTTCTACACTAGCAATGCTGCCCCTTGCAGCATAGGGAGAGTACAGGGGAGAGTACAGGCTTCGGTTTGAAGTAGCCATCTCTCCTGCAAACTCCTTTGACAACAAGGTGACAATTCCTCCCACAACCAGATGTCAAGAGGGAAAGATTAAAGAGTACTCAAAATGAGGGTGCTTATCACCACACTGGCTAAGGAAAGGTGCAATTTTCCTACTCTGCCTTCTAGAGGAGCCAGGTGGTTGATACAAGATTTCCAAACTGAGAACATTCAATTAGGTCAAAACTACAGGGTCAGTGCAAGTTGGAAAGGATGATGTAAGAGGGTAACACTGAATACCTTGAACCATCAAAGTGGCAAAGGAAGGCTTCTCTCTCTCACGGCTGATAATGACAAGGTACCCCAGAAGAGGTGTTATTCCTGGGCCCCAATTACACTTGAAAGGTATCTCACATATAGTTAAAGTACATAGGGTACTATACTAATTGCCCTTGCAATTATGGGCAAAGGTCAGTTTTATTAATGATCCAAAGCGTGGAGTTTGAGTGCTATCACTCATCCAAGGTGATTTGCAGGAACTGCATTTCTAAGCACTCAGTTGGTAGTCTACAGGCCTGACCCAAATGGATGGGAGTGGCTTTACCTTACAGTATTGCCGAGTCAATGCCATGGTGGCTTACTGTTGAACGCAGCTGGTTCCAAAGGTTCCTCCCTTGGTGAGAGATGCCTCGGGAGTTTCACCTCTGTGCTGCATGTTCTTACTCATACAGCACAGATAAGTACTGCAGTGCAGACGTACTCTAATGAGAGCTGCGGCAACAGTGGCTCCCTCTGGGTTTTATAGCTTCTCTTCATTTGTGTGAACCTGTATGTACTGTATGGTCATTGCTGATGACTGCATGAAACTAAAGACCTGCATGCACAAGAGACACTGCAGATCGTATCACCACTGGCAAGAAGGTTAACAGTGCCAAGAACACAACACTGTTCACTTGTTCATGCATTCAGCTGCAAGCCAAGAAATACTGAGTGATGACAGGATGGAAATAAATGTAAACTGGCCATTAATCTGTGTGCAAAATTGAGAATTTATTATTGAGAAACAGTCTTCTAGGGTTTCAGAATGCAATGGCCAAAGTATTTCTAACTTGTCTGTCACACAGAATGCAAAAGAGAAAAGTTATCTTATATACTGCTCATTTTTTATGACAAAATCATTTTCAAACAGACTCCCTTTGCCTGGTCTCAGCTGGTTCTTACCTGAGCAACTATTTCATCTAACCATGTAGCATGATGCTGTGGATTGGCAAGAAGCCATTTAATAGCAGCACCATAAACCTGCTTTTCACTATCAATGCTCAGATCATTTGAAGACAACAGTTTATGAAGGTGCTGAGGCGACACACTCACAAAGTCTTCACATTCCACAACTTCAGCAAAATGTTCACAGGCATAGCGATCGGCCATGTCCATCAAGTCAATACGATTGTGACTCTCCGCAAAGGCCCGCACTGCCAGGCAATTTGAAGGATGGAAGTGCAGTTTCATGTACTCACAGCAAGCTCTGGCCACTACCTCCACCTGGAGAATGCAGGCAGCATATAAGAGAGGCTGGACATTGTCTACTGTCAGAGTTAGCTGAGATGAATAGACAAACTTGACCAGATCTTCTATTGCGTCGCCATCAAAGTCTTTAATCTCAATCAGTGTCTGCTTGGCTTCTGCCATTTCAGAAAGAAACATGGCTCGGAAGTAAGGAATAACACAAGCCAGCACAAGCTTGTGGCAGGAAATCAACTTCGACCCCACCTATTGGGAGAGTATACATTCACATTAATAGGAACCCAAACATTTTAACTTGATTCAAAAGGCAGCTCTTAGATAGATATTGTAGATAATGTTTTCCCCCAAAACATTACAGAACAAGGTGTGGTAAATGATTTCTAGAATAGTTAGTATTATCAATTACAAACTGTTTGACCACAGGACTACAAAGAAAATGGAAAGCCAGCACTAATAAGCCCTTTTTTCAGGTGGTACCACTGTTACGGGACTGCAGGTGGCGCTGTGGTTTAAACTGCTGTGCTGCTGGGCTGGTAGATCGTAAGGTCGCCGGTTCGAATCTGCACAACGGGGTGAGTTCCCGTTGCTCCGTCCCAGCTCCTGCCAACCTTGCAGTTTGAAAGCATGCAAATGCAGGTAGATAAAAAGGTACCACTTTGGTGGGCAGGTAACAGCATTCCGTGCACTTCGGTGTTTAGTCATGCCGGCCACATGACCACGGAGACTGTCTGCAGACAAACGCTGGCTCCCTCGGCTAGGAAACAGAGATGAGCACCGCCCCCTAGAGTCAGGCATGACTGGACTTAATGTCAAGGGGAAACCTTCACCTTTACCTTTTACCACCCATTATACACCCACCCACAGATACACCATTTAGGGCACAATCCATAGTCCCCAACTTTCTCTGGAAGCTGGGAATAGGATTAGGGTTAGGAGGATCAGCTACAAGGTCCTACAATATTGGAGCTGGAACTCCAAATGTGGTACCTTCAGCCTCACCTCCCCCCCGCTGCCCTCACCCCAGCCAGCATGGAAAGACCCATACTGACTGCTTCTCTAACATCAAAAATAAGGTCTGCAAAGCATGAAAAGGGCTGTGTTTGGGGTGGGAGGGAAAGGAGGCTGGGACCAATAGCATATGCCATATCCAAACGACACTGCAGCCTCCCTCCCTCCCTCCCCAGTGTGTTTCATCTAACAGCTGAAAACAGCTGTCTTTGAGAAAATGCTGGGCATAAGGTGTGGTGGCAGCGAAGTGCCTCACTCCAGGATGCATTTAAATCTCTGGGTTCAGAAGCCTGTGTGCATCCAGTGTGAACAGCAGAGAATTGTGCCCTGGTAGATCATAAATTAATGTTGAGTACAAGCTTATTTCCTTCCAAGAACTACTTTTCCAGTTAGATCTGTAGGAACATGCAATAAGAGTTAGTTCAAACCAGCCTTTTTCATAACCAAGACTTGAAAATGTACTTCCAACCATGGTTTCAAACCACAATATTTTGCAAAGTTAAATTCTTTTGTATACTGCTTTGGGAGAATTAGTGGAGAACCAGCATAGGGTCTGATATAAAAATTGATCTATAGTTACAAAGCATCTATAACTTACAACATAAAACTACAGTTAGTGCTAAGAAGGATGGTGGTGTACCATAAAATCTCTCAGTAGATTAAAGAGAACTTGTTCCTATGGTTTGCTCCCAATTTACAAAACCACCAAGCACTTTTTTCCCCTATCTATAAAAAATAGTTTGCCAAAAATAATCTAGCTGACCTAAGTTTCATTCCCTATATGAAGTTGCAAATACATCAATTTAATTGCGTTATAAAGTAACTAATGCTATAGTGCCATCTAGAAGCCATTCTGGAACATTAACTTATGTTAGCTTTTTTACTATAGGTATGGCCTTTTATTACAAAACTGTAACATCAGTTGTCTTGTAGTTAATGCAAAGAACATTCTGTGCATTGTTAACATTTATGTTATATCACTAGTCAGATCAATTAAACATTTCTCTATGGATCAGTATATAATTATGATACTGTTATACAATGAATATTATATTCATCATACCCTACACACAAGCATTTGTACAGATTAATATTTCAACAAGCACACATGATTCCTATTGAGCAGAAAATTCTTGAAAGAACTGCTATTTTGGTTTCCCTTCTAGAGAAAGCTAGTTGTCTCACTTGTATACAACTTAGATGTTTCTCTAGCTGTTCCTGTCTCCAACTAATTTAAGGAGTAGCCTCTATCTCTGATTTACTATTAGCAGTTTTATCCAGTCATCTCAAGTAGTTATTCTTTTAATTATCCAGTCAGCTATTAAGACAAACATTTGGCTTATTCATGCTGTTTAGCATGACCTGCTCATATGTGATCCAACTTACACACAAATTCAACTTAAAGATGTACTCAGGAACAGAACTCGTTCATAACCTGGTGACTGATTATACTTTGCACATTAGAACTGCTACAGAAGAAAAACTGTGCCAGTGACTAAGTCTAACACCATTAGAGCCCTAATTCCAACAACAACTTTTCTTTGTTGGTTGTGCATACATACACCTCAAAAGCAAACAAACATTCAACTGAACCATGGTAAAATTCAAACAAGTTCTGAATCTCCTAAAAACCTGACAGGTACTCTGACCATGTTCATTACATCTTGTGTTAAATGTGTAAGTACAGGAGCATTGACATATTCGATATCTGCAGATATTCTAATGGGAGAGTATTTGCTAGTAGGCAGTTACAAAATTATTCCTTCAGGAAAGCACCTTTAAAAGGCCAAAAAATAAAAAATGCAGCAATTTTCTGTAACATTTGCTGAATTGCTGATACATTCTAAATGCCATTGCAGCTGAGGCATGCCCATAAGCATTAAGGGAATGTTAAATATCAAGTATAAATTGCTTTATACTTGATATTTAACATTTCCTTAATACTTGCTTTTCCAAGTAAATAAATTTTTGTTAATGTAATTTAAAAAGTATTTCATCATTTAAAATCCTATATAACTTCTGTTATATAGAAGTTATATAACTATATAACTTCTGTTATCATTACTGTTCAAAGTATGATAGGATTTCTATTGTTTTTTCTGGGCATGTTTCCCACACTCCTCTATCTTAAGGAAATTGGAGTCACTTACAAAATGTAAAAGCGACAGCAAATACACCCTAATGTAAGAATAAAGTACAAATACTCTGAATAAGGTAGCCGAAATGGTAAGTACTCGCCTGAAAGTAACATTAAAGCAAACTCACCATCACTCAGCAAACGATGCTGGGCCAAACATTTTCTAAGACTACTCATATATAAACAATTCTACTGTAACCAGTGTACACGCTGTAGAAATAATCTCCATCTTATTCTGCAGTAAGTATGCCCTTTAAAATGCTTTTTAGATTCACATTATATTGTAAATAAGGCTTGCAAATGCAGTAATAAAATTTATTAACCCACCTACAAAATATACATAAAATTAAAAGCTACTTTTTGAAAAAAAAAATCTCTAACCCTAGAATTTTAACAACCTTTTCTGGAGTTCCAATTTAAACACACACACACACACACACACACACACACACACACACAGAGAGAGAGAGAGAGAGAGAGAGAGAGAGAGAGAGAGAGAGAGAGAGAGAGAGAGAGAGAGATAACAGCAATAAAGGCACACCTTGGTTTAACGTTAACAACACAGCAAAGAGCACAGTAGAACATGTAGAACCAATACTTGGCCTATAGGTCACATGTGAGCACTGCGGCCTCCCCCCATTTTTTTTTTTTTTTAATGTAGAGGCAAAAAAGATTTCATTAACGGAGACAGAGTACCAAATGACTGGAATAATTTGCCTGCAAGCTAAGTAACACTGTTAACACTCTCTAGCCACTACCAAAACCATTTAATAACAAACACAACAAGCACTTCCAACAGCCATGGGAGCGGGGTAGGAATTCTGGAGCCAGAAAAGGGCCCTGGACATTAAAAACTGTGTGCTCCAGATACAGAAGAATCATGACCGCAGTTACATATCAGGTTTTAAATACTGCCTCCTTTAAAGAGTCTGACTGGTCAGAGTTAAAACAAAAATTATCAATTTTTGATAATTGTAATGTTCACATATAAACCATCCATATATTTCTCCACTTTGCTAATCCCATCCCCCATCATCCTGTCAGAACCAGGGTTAGGATTCAGGATGAAATTGGTTTTAGCGTCAGTCCAAGAATAAGGAATTATACAGTCCTTATTACCAGGCTGTCATTTGTACTCAAAAAGTTAACATAAGCAGACTTAAATTGCCCCCAAATAAACTCTTTGGAAAGCATTTTCCAGGCTACAGCAGGACCCCCATATCTGCTGTTTCAGTTACCACAGTTCCACTGAACCGAGGCTGGCAACTGGCCCTCCATATTCGGAAGGGCTATGGATGCAAGACCCACTGAAAAGTAGAAAAACAGTGAATATTTCTAGAGGCCAGTGTCGTGTAGTGGTTAAGAGCATGGGACTGGGACTCAGGCGATCCGGGTTCGAGTCCCCACTCGGCCATGGAGCCAACTGGGTGACTTTGGGCCAGTCACAGACTCTCAGCCCAACCTACCTCACAGGGTTGTTGTTGTGGGGATAAGATGGAGGAGGAGAGATGATGTAAGCTGCCTTGAGCCCTTTGTAGGAAAAAGGCAGGATATAAATCGCAATATAAATAAAAAATAAAATATATCCCTAGGGAACTATGCATTCTGCTTGCAGATGACATGCTCTTTGTCTTGGTACCAGCCAGCCTCAATGTTGTGTTTTGCCTTTCAGTGAGTATGAATACTCTAGAGACAGTTGCAATTTTTCCACTTTTGCAGGGGTTCTGGACCCCTAACCCTCCCCCGCCCCCGAAATGTAGTGTTTCAGGCATCCACAGTTTCAGGCATCCACTGGGGGGCTTGGAACCCACCCCTCATGGATATGCTGTATTTTTTGTACAGCAGCTGCAGCTTCTGCAGTAAATACAAAATACTAATTAGAGTCAACTTCATCCCTTTTGCTATGAGTCAGAAGGAAGAAAAAGGTAAATAGATATAAAAATTCCGTCCAAAGATGATAGAGCACAGGTTCAGTAATTCCAAAACACCTTATCGATTCTGAGAGGTGCAAAAAAGAGTAAGAACTGTTTTTAGAGCACTTTACAGAAACAAAGGAGAGACTGTTGGAATGAAAATACAGCTCAATATGAGAGTTCAAATGGCACTGAACTGAGTGTGCATGATTGGTTATGTTTTTAAAAGCTGAATATGCTTTTAAAATGATGCAAATCATAGGTTCAAAGTCACCCATTTGCATAGGAGCAATTTCTAATCATCTGTAATAATGTTTAATGAGAAGCTTTAATATTTTATGAACCTGTCATCCTGACCTTTCTAGTTCTGGGTTCTAAGTAGCTTTCCTTGAATTCTTATTCACAGAGATAGTCATTGAATTATTCATGCTAAGTACTATTATAAACTCAACAGAGACTACTTGTTAATGGAAATTAAAGCTAATGTTTCCCTCCTGCTACTATTTACTGTAAGTAGTTAAACAGAAAGAGGGAACAGAAACACATAGAAAGGGCATATAAATATTCTTAATAAATTGATCTCCTTTGTGGATGTGTTGTGTTAATACTGCCACTACTTACCATTGTTATGAAAACATGGGCAGCACCTTATATGACACTCTTACTAATGTAAATTACCTTATATGACAAAAGTGTTTGATGGCACGGCTGATTTTTCTGGGAAAAACCCACTATGCCAGCAAACACTATTGGTGTTGCACTAGAGCCTGGGTCCTCAAACTACAGCCTGCAGGCCGAATCCGGCCCGCCATGCCCATTTATCCGGCCCGCCTCAGAGGTTTTGGACTCGCCACATGCGCGCAGGGAGGCGGCTTGCTTGTGCAGAGATCATTTTGGACTCGCTCGGAGAAGATGATCTCTGAGCGAGCAAGCGAGCTGCTGCCTCACATGCACCCGCCTCGCCAGCCCCACCCCCTTGCCAGCCTGCACACGCCGCCAGCACCTTTCAGCTGGCCCCATTGAAAAAGTTTGAGGACCCCTGCACTAGAGCTTGCGTAGGTTAGCACAACGTAGTTCAAATTAGCAACATGTCAAATACAACACTGCCCAAAGAAACAAAAATGTAAGTTCTTCACCCTCCAAAAAGGAGCTTGCCAATCTGCCAGCAAGTGAGATGACCTATAGATGCTACAGTAGCAGTGTGAAAGCTGCTTTTCCTGGGATCCATCTCAGTGTTGCTGCAATGTATACAGCTCCACCACTATATGCACTGGGCTTGTCAATTAAGCCCTTCCTGATCTCAGGAAGGCAGCTGATGATAAATGCATAGAGGGCCCTAACAAGGGTAGGGAATCTCTCCTCTCCCCCCACCCCCACATACAAATACGCAATATCTTTCAGCACCTTTAGCGTAACATCACAAAGCTCCCCAGCTTCATAGAACTGAAGGAGAGAGCTGTGAAAATCCTTCCAAGCTTCATTTGCTTCAAATACAAATATTTCTTCATCACCATCACTATGCAGAGGTGACCTTTCCTGTTGCTGTTGCCTTTTTCCTTTCACCACATGACGATTTGCTTGCTCTCGGACCATAGAGTCAGAAGCCATTGGCTGTTTATCCCCTTCTAAGTTCGTGGTCAGTCTCCATGAAAAGGCACAACACACATAATGCTGAGCAAATCAGGCAAGGCATCCAACAGGCGTTTTTTCAAGCACTAGAAGGAAAAAGATGGAAATAGGTTAGACACTGACATGAGTAGGACTGACTTTCTGTCTGTTCAAGGGAACTTTGCATATAAACTAAGCCTTGGAGTCATTAACTAGAATTTTAAATAAGTCAAAACCCCTTTTGCTACTATACAAAGCAAAGAGTTTCTTTCCAAGGATATATTTTTTTATTTGTACACTAACACAGCTTCAAGAACAGCCAGCATGGTGCAGTGGTTAAGAGTGAGGAGAGGAACTTGGGAGATCTGGGTTCTACACCTCACTCAGCCATGGAGTTAACGGGATATGACTTTGAGCCAGTCACAGACTGTCTGCCCAACCTACCTAACAGGGCTGCTGTTGTGAGGATAAAATTGAGAGGAGGAGGAGGAGGAGGGGGAGGAGGAGGATTACGTAAGCTGCCTTGAGTTCCTTAAAAGGAAAGAAGAGGGATATAAATATAATAAACAAGCCAGATGCAGAAACATGATTTTCCATTATTAGCATCAACAGGAGACAGACTATTATACTGTTCCCTAATCCATCTGAAGTATTATCGTATCACACTGTTTTCCTCTTGTGAGGAACCCAAGGCAGCTTATATAGCTCCATTTCATAATCACAACAATCTTGTGAGGGAGGATAGTTTCAGCACTATTCATCCTTAACCCTTGAGGGAACCTATCAATGATGGTTGGTGGGGCACAAGATTAACAAATGAGTTATTTGTTTGGTCCATGAATCATGGAAAAAACACTTATCTTCTGGGATGAATAATTCTGCAAGTGATTTTTAGGAACAGATAGGAAATAGGTGATATACAACACGCAAAACCACATAATTGCTGCAGTCACAGTTTCATATACATCTTAACCAAGGCCAAAGGGAAATTGATCAAAAGAGGGAAAATACAAGGCCCAGTGTACTTTACATGGTCATCCACACCTCTATAGTCTCCCTTATGAGTTGCCACAGTAGTGCTTTCAACCCAATATTTTATCAGGGCACCATATACTACCACCATGCCCCATATAGCCAGTATAGATAGAGATAAAAAACTAGGAGAATGCATCCAATGCCAAGCTTTGGGCCATCCCAAACCATACACCCCAAAATAAGGGAGAGGAGTGTCAAAGATACCAGTCATTGATACAAAGATACCAGTCTCACATTCAGTGCAATTCTTCATTAGGGTACAAGATCCTATCAAGCATGGTACCTCATGTCAATAACATGTTAAAAAATGAATAAGGAATTTGAACCCAAGAGGATGGTTTATACCACCGCGAATTGTACAAACATCCAAAGGGATGGCCTTTACCAGATGTCACAAAAGCGCATTTGGCCCAACTCTTTATTTAGATGCAAGATACTTTCAAACTGCTGTCCTCCTGACACTAATAACAAACATGTGTAGAAATGAAGGCACAACAAGAGGTGTTCACCTCACAGTAAGCTCTGTCCATGCCAAATCATACAGTCAAGCCTCCAGGGGCGTGCCCTCCATGAAAGGCATACCATTACAACTGTCCCAACTCAACATTTGGGCACAAGACTTTGTCAAGCAGGAGAGCCCACACCTACTGGGTGTGATATTATTATTATTACTATTGCATTCCATTTGTATCCCACCTTTTTCCTTCTTTTGAGAAACCCAAGGCAGCTTACATAGCTCAGTTTAACTGTCACAACAACAAGCCTCTGAGGTAGATTAGGCTGAAAGTGACTGACATCCAAAGTTACCAAGTTTGCTGCATAACCAAGTGGGAACTAGAGTTCAGATGCCCCAGGTCCCCAGTGCAACACCCTGATCATCACTATGAAAGGCAAAACATTCACTCAGAACATGTGGAACATATCTCCATAAGTCACCACCACTGCATTTCTGACAGCAACACATTTATAGAAGAAAGCCCATCCCATACATCTAACAATTCAATGGCACTACTTGAAAGGTCTGTAGCATGGCTTTATGACAGAACCTGTGGATTCTGTTAAGTCCATTAGGCAAAGCAGCATCTGCTTTCAAGGTTATAATCCCTGGAACTTATTTTACCAACACAGAGGGATTTCAAGCACACAATCTAACAGGGAGATTATACAGAGAAAGACATTTCAGAGAGATTCAGAAAGGTGGGGAAAGATGGATCTCAGTGGAACTTTTGGGCACATTTGGGAAGAGGTATGATTCCATTTTGGCTAAAAGAAGAAGTAATAACATCTTTGTTAGATATATGTTCAGAACCCTGTTGAACTAAGTAATTTGTAGCCAGCCTACAATATCCCTTTCTTGATCAAGATGCTAGAGTGTATGACTCCTTTATTACAATAGTTTCACAGTATACCTGTCTGTTTCTGCTGGTTATGATGTATAAAACCTAAACTAAGCTATGTGAAAGACTGCTTTCTCCCTTATGAGTGCACCAGTATGTAAGTTCTTTGGGAAAAACTCTTATTTTGGTGACATTGCAAGAGAGGGTCTTCTCAGTAGTTACTCCCTGGCAGTGGAATTACCTCCGAAGCAAACTAGATTGCCTTTCTCTCCTCTTGTCTTTCCAGCAGGTAAATAATTTTATTCAAGTAGTCCTTTGCCATGTAAGCTGTCTGCTGGGTTAGGTGCTCTTTTTACTCTTTTATTGGTGTGTGCTTTGCCTTGGTTAACATTTTGGTTCCTTTTGTCAATCACCCACCCTGATTTATGGGGCAGAAAGGAAAGGTCTAAACAAATAATTTTCCATCTAATTTTATTGGGACCTTAGAATATGCATTCATAAGTAAAAAGGTTTTTTAAAAAAAAATAAAAATGGGAATAGATGGGGAGGGGAGGGTCAACATCAGAAACTGTTTCGGCAATATCACTACATATCCAAGTTTGATGTTTATAACCCAAAGTACACTGCTTGATCAAAAACCCAACTTAACTACTGCATTATATTGAACATACATTTTAAAGCAATACGATCAGGACACCTGTTGTATTTAACTTATGCTTGCAAAATAAAAAGAACTACTGTTCATCCCCCTACAAAACCAGCTGAATTGACATTTACTTTGGGAGGGTTCAAATTAAAGTTTATTGCCCAATTCTCTCTTCTCTTCCTTTTTCAATGGTTAGCTGATTTCTTGGCTGTAATAAAACAATTGAGCAATTAACAGATACATTCCTATGGCTACATAATTTTATACATGCTTCTAGTGAGTTCTCTTAAAGGAACTAACATAATAAATTACGAAGAGCCATAATGAATGTAATCTATAACCATTATGACTTTAATACCCTTATCTTTCATGAAATTGTCCATACTCATTTTAAAGGCATCCACATTGGTGACATCACTACATCTTGTGAAAGTAACTTCCCTAGCTTTATTATGTTCTGAGTAAATTCATGCTTCCTTTTAGGTGTCCTTTATACACATTTTCGTTTAACCTTCCACCAGTCAGTTTCATGGGATGACTCCATTGGATTCTACTAAGATGAGAGGTACTATCCATTTCTTGCATACAACCATGCATGATTGTATATGTAATCATCATGTTCCCCCCTTACTTGCCTCTTTTTTGTTTTATGAACTTTCATTATAATACTTAGCATCATTATTAAACTAGTATGTTTGGGATGTTTTCTACTAAGTCACAAGCAACTTAAGACATAAAAGCAAATAATAAAACACCCCAAATGATGCAAAAACTCCTGTTTTCAAGTACTCTGAAGAACGAAGCATTAGGACCTACTTTTGAGTTACATTTAAAATCAGAAGGGTTTGCTGATTTATGCTCTTAGGTACACTTTTGTTTTAGTTGCTGACATGGCATTTGTGCTGGTCTTATATTTTTTCCTATGAAAATAATTTCCTATACTTTGGAGTCTTGAAAAAAATAAAATTGAAGCCTGCCACCCAGGTATTTACACCACATAAGTCATATGTATAAAATAAATATGTTGCGTTCTCCTCCTAGTAAAGGTAAGGTATACAAAACTCTTAGCTTTTTGCACAGCACCTTACCCATCCCCCTCTGAGGAAACTGTCAGATGTTGTGATACCAGTTATAGTTTTCCTATGCATAAATTATTTTAGCAGCAAGCAGACAGATCACCTGAAAGACAGCTTTTTAGGAGACATCACTGAGCAACCTATAATTTGAATCTAGAAGCTGCAGAATGCTTGTTCAACTAATTGGGTATTGTTTAGAAATGTAAATGTCCAAGCAATTTAAATTTAAATGAAGGCAACTGATCAATGAACAAATAAAAATCTAAATGAACTGATGCAAAATTGGTGCACCAACTTACCTAGGACTGACATCCTAAATATCCATTTACAATCCAAAATGGAACATAGAAGTAGACTTTCTAAATAAACACTTGCTTTTAACTCAGAATACTACACTATTTTTATATGAGACATAAAAATAAAATGCTGTTAATGGCCCAAAGCTGAGCTGATGTTGAGACTGATGGTACTGATATTGTGTACCCACACTTGAGGGTTAGGCAAGTTTTGCTGAGTTGTGAGAACAGACACACTAAGTGCCAGTATGCTCTGCATTTATCACAACAGAATTTTTTTAAAAACCCTGTACACAGCAGTTATGACAGTGAACAGAAAAGCAGCCGAGATCCTAAATAAAATGACATCAAAACATGCCAGCAGCTCAGTTCTCTCCATATTACATTGAAGATGGGCAGATCCAATCTGTGGAGCTTTTTATTGTATTTCTCATCCGAGTAACTGCAACAACTTCATAGAACTCTTCATTATAAACCAAAGCAGGAACAAATCAATAAATTGCGGAGCTAACAGGTTTGGATAGTGCAGTGAAACATTATTTGAAAATCAGCAAAGAACTCCAAACTTGTATATTTACAATGCTATATATCTGCCACCCTTTGTTGTCCTTTCATACAGTGCCACAAGATTTACCAGTAATCACCAATTTCCACGCTCACCATTTTTCTATGGTCTTTTTATGCAATCCATTTACCTCATTTGCTAACTCTCATCATAACATAGCACACTTCACACGCACTGCAAACTTGTATTCTGATTCGCTTCCCCAAATCTGGTCCAGTTTCCATGTTGTGCTCTACTTCAATCTCCCACTGCCCCATCTTTTCAATTTCCCCTGCAAGTAGGAGAAGAGGGAAAGAAATAGGATCACTCCACCACGACTGCCCACGCCAGTTCACTTCAGACACAAGGAATGCCCCCCGCTCTTTTCCAAAGGACCAGCAAGCCGACATTAACCCTCCCTCTTCCCTCCCCTTCTGCCGAAAAGAAAGCATGAGCAAAAATAACCCTTTCCGAGTTTAGCGCTCTGTGAACCAGCCTCTCCCCACCTCCACCACCGCCGCCGCCCACCTCGGTGTTATACCACGATTCCATCGTCCCCCGCCTGCGAAGACGGGGAGCTGTAGTCCAACAGCATCTAGTGACCGAAGACTGGGAAAGACTGTAAACACACACCGTCTCTGCAGGAAACAATGTCCGAGCCTTGTATATGTCCAGCCCAGTCTTTTTCCTCCTTCGTTCAACCCCTCCGCACCAGGACTCAGTCCCAAAGCCTGCCTGCGATATTAGCCCACAGTATGGAAGTGTCTCTAGGCATGCACAAAATGCTTCCCTCCACTGAAGAGCACATCTACGATCAGGGAGCCTGCGTTTCAGCAGCACTCATCCTTTGAACTCACCTAATAGGTCGGGGTGACCCTCCCAGTCAGCCCCATTCGCGACCTGCCAGCTTCTGAAGAGCAGCTGCTCCGCGACCGTTACCTTTTCGCGCGCGCTCCCGCGCTGCCTACCTCCCGCGCGCCGCCGTCGCGCAGAAAGCACCGAGGCACCCGCACCGATGGCACAGGGGGAGGGGGAAGAGAAGGTACGCCAGAACTAGAGGGCGGGGAAACGAAAAGGCGGAGGAATATGCCGCACGCATGCGCCAGGGGGTGGCCGTTAACGCTTTTCAACGTCAAAACACAAGGGAGAGCGACGGCTGCTCAGGCCTCAAGGGCGTTCGCCTTTCTGCGCATGCTTAGTTTTCGTTGTAGGCGCGAGATTGTGGCAGTGCATCTCGGGAATTGTAGTTTTTAGGTCCCTTCGTAAAGGATGGACTGTTTCCATGAGTCGAAGAGGCGTGATGAAAACGTGATGTTATGCATTGGACTCAAGGAATCTGTGAGGCACTGAATGGAGTTGAGCTATAGGCTCACAGACCAAAAAACAAAACAAAACAAACAAGGAAAAAAAATGAACTGTGCACATGCTAATTTATATTTGCTCTACAGTGTCTAAAAGACCCTGCTTCCTAAGGACCACCCGTATTTGTAAACAGAGAAGGGGAGAGAAGAGCATTTGATTGCAGGAAAGAACCCCAGGCAGAAAGATCGAGGTGGCGAGGATGGCAGGAGGCGAGGCACATGCAGGCAAAAAGCCCTTTCATCCAGGGGGCTTAGAAGCAACAGAGTCCCCGTACCTCTATTTCAGCAAGTGACCCTGGACAGCAGAGTGTTAGGGCAAATGGCCACCCAAAGATTCAGGGTCTGGATGAAAGGTGTGGAGCCCGAGCCCCAGTGGGCCTGCTGTTACCACCACCTTTGATTTGACTTAAAATAACACAGATTCATGCTTTTAGCATTGGGGTGTTGAATGTAAAAGGCTATTTGTTCATGCGGTTGTGTGTGGTGTTACGAGTCACCTACAAAAACAAGTTTGGCAGACTTAAAATTTAAAAAGATGCAAAACAAAGGTCTAAAAAAAAAAAAACCAGTAACACCAGCATGAGAAACTTTGTAAAGTCCATCAGTATCACTAATCCCTAGTTTGCCGATACTGAGGCTGAAAGTGTGAGTGTGTTTTATATAACCATTTGCTTATTTGTTATGCAAGGACTGTGGAACAACTGTAATTTAAAAATAAACCCGCCTTCACATGCCTTCGTTTCAGTGCTGCTCCCAAACAGAAGATTCTGGAGAATTATTTTGAGCTTTTTGACAACTGTCACCCTGTTAGATACTATAGCTCCAATATGTTTGGTCAGCTGCTTCTGAAAGCGGCCAAGGGCTTACCCTCAAGGGCTGCAATTCTATGTACTCCTGTGGAGGAGCAGGACCCCGGGGAAGGCAACCTCCCTGGATCAGCCATATCCCTCCATGAGTTTGTCTCCCATTGATACTACCTGCTACGGCTCTTCCTCTTCTTCATTCTTACTTAGACCTGTTTGCTTGCCGGGCAGAGAACCACGGAACAAACAGGCAGTAGAACTGGCTGCTCTTCCTTCTCACTACCTCCATTGTCAGGACCAAACAAGAGACGTGTGAACAGGCAGGTTGTAATGGTAAGGTAAAGGTAAAGGTTTCCCCTTGACATTACATCCAGTCATGCCTGACTCTAGGGGGCGGTGCTCATCTCCATTTCCTAGCAGAGGGAGCCAGCGTTTGTCTGCAGACAGTCTCCGTGGTCATGTGGCCAGCATGACTAAACAGTGAAGTGCACGGAACACTGTTACATTCCCACCGAAGTGGTACCTTTTTATCTACTTGCATTTGTATGCTTTCGAACTGCAAGGTTGGCAGGAGCTGGGACAGAGCAACGGAAACACACTCGTGTGCGACCTTTTGATCAACCAGCCCAGCAGCACAGCGGTTTAAACCACTGCACCACCTGCAGTCCCTAGAGAAGCAAATCTAGGTAGCTTTTGTCAGTGGCTCTTGCAAGAGCTCCAACCACACCTACCCTAAAGGTTGGGCCTACTGGAGGGGTGAGCTTTCTTTGATCCCAGTGGGACTTACTTTTGAATGAAGAATTGCACTGTGTAAGTATCAGACAAACCAAATAAACCGTTCCCTTGCAAAAATCTGCAGGATTTGCCTCAAAAACTACAGCCCACAGTATAATCCTATACATATTAACTTAGATGTATGGCTTGCTCAGTCATGAGTCAGGGTCTTATTCCTCCTGACACCCAGATTCCCTGCCTGAAGAGTCCCAGTCGGGTCCCTTCTGCTATTGCTTTTAGGCAGACAGCAAACTATTTCAAAATTTGTATTTCACCAAACATTTGGTTTGATGTGGTCTTTGTCCTGCTGTTTGATAATAGCTGATTTCACTATGTTTTACAGCTTGTCTTTTTGATTTTACTTCACATTTTAATGGTATTTGCATTTTTTAAAAAAGCATTTTGTGCCTATGAGCTGCCTTGGAACCAAGAAGTAGGTGTTAAGTGAATACTGGATAAACAGTCCCACTGAGTTTGGAGGGGAGAGACAAAAGCAGCATCTGGACCTGTTGCTAGCAGGCATAACAGTTTTGGTCAGAAATGAGTGGATTTGGGAAAGACCATGTCCCAGGGCTTCCCAACCTGAAGCCAGAAGGATTCAACCAACTCTTCAACAGAAACCAGCTGGAGTAGTGCCTTGTCCTCTGACTTCCAAGGTCACACTTTTCCTGCTGCTTGGTAAAGGCTTCCAAACCACCTAGACTGATCAGTATGTGTCCATGTGCATTTTGAAGAGGGGGTGTAGAATTGAAGGTCTCTAGCTGTATAAAAGACTAGATATTAAACACACTGAACTCCTGTGATCTCCTTTGTGTCTGGTCACCCTACCACAAAGACAGAAAGCATGAAAGATTTTTGGAGCTCGAGAAGGAGTAAAGAGGCCCCAGTAGGGAATCATTCTTCACGTTTTATGTGAATTGCCTAAGGAGGCCAGCTGAGAAACGTCTGCTTTACAGGAAAAGCAGGAATTTGCACTTAACTCAGTTAACAATAGGCAAGCTGAGCTTGTTTTTGAGCCAACTAAAACAGCTGTTTCAGTGGACTCTGCCATGCATGAGAGCCAAATGTTACTCCACCAAAGCAGTCAACGTGAATGATACCAGCTTTAGTGTATTCTACCTTCTCAAGTAGAGAAGATTGCTGAGAGGCCCAAGGCTTCACCCACTTACTGTTTAGGGACTGTGAAGGGAAAATTACAGCTTTCAGAACTGATTCATCAGCTCAACAAATTTCTTTTTCGGTAGTGTCACACCTCCCTGTGGATTATTGTCATGAAATATCAGCCAGTTCTGTGTGAGCAATTTAAAAGGATCTTCAACAAAATATGGCAGCTTGGAATCTCCCTCTTGTATGAATAACATGTCCAAGCCTTGAGGTTGTCTTATGTTTGCTATACTTCCCTCGATGGCACCATTTTGGGCTATATAAAAATTGAGACTTGGAGGATGATTACAGAAGGCACGAGCCTATACCATCTCCCCTCAGTGCAGTAAGCCTCCAGTGCAGGGCCTGAAGTGTGGCAACAGGGACTTCCATTGCCCCACATCCTGAATTTCATCTAGACATCCATTTTCCACTGCAACTGGCATGGATCCTTTCCCTCTGCAAGGGAGGAATGTTGGGGTCTCCACATTCAGAGTTCTTATCCCACCACTGAATTCGGAGCCAGACTTCTGCTTAATCCTCTGGCCTCTCAGGCAATGTCAGAAGGCCATAAGATTGCATCTTAACAGTGTTTACATATGTATTTATCTGGATTGTGTGTGCACTTTTGAGGAACAGCCAATTATTGTATTAATTATTGTACTATTGGAATTTTATATTGTGTAAGCCATCCTGAGTGCTTGTCGGAAGGATGGGATATAAATGTTTGTAATAAATAAATACAAGTAGTTCAAATCCAACCATGTAGTTGCAGCATACAAACACACACTTGGGAGTCAAGGTGCAAGTGTGTTGAATGCCTTTCAACCCATGGACCCATTTCAGTGAAGCTCATGGGGGACGTAGTCCAAAGGTTGGAATAAGGCTGGAAAAAGTAAGCTTCGGTCATATTCCCAGGGCCAAAGGCAAAAGTGCAGTACCATAAACAGTATATTTTAGCATGCAAGCTCCTCTCTTAGGAGAGGAGAGGCATTTCAGAATGCAGAAAAACAGCACAAAAGCCAAGAAACTACCCAACAATTCATGTGTGGGAAGAAAGGAGGCCTGGCCATTCAGAGAACTTGGCAGGCCAAGTTTGGCTCCTGGACTTCAGTTTCTACAGTCCTGCCAAAGTTGCCCTGGCCTCTGGGGAATGGCAGGCCAGATCCAGTCCACATCAAACCAACACAATGGGTTCCCAGATTCACAGTCAGAGAAATTCCCAGTGGGACAGGAGACAAGGAAGAACAACTCCTCACACCTGTTCATCCCTGGTTCTGTCATCCAGGCACCCATCTCAGTATGTCACACCTGAAGAAGAAGGGCCTCTTCCAGGGACCTTAAAAACTGAGCAGGTTTGTATGGGAGAAAGCTGACTTTCAGATAAATATCAGGATAGTTAATGGTATATAAATATTCTCCACCTTTGAATCTGGTAACACTTCCAGTAAGCTCAGGTTAATAAAATGAGCACCAAAAATAACCCAGAATAGGGCTCACAGTACCTGCAGAGTCTTATGAAGACTTAAGAGCATAAGAAAAGCCATGCTGGATCTGACCAAAGCTCCATCTAGCCCAGCATTCCATGCACATGGTGGCAAACCAGCTGCCCACAGGATCCTCAAGCACGGTGGGTCCAAGATCTCCTCTTGCTCAGTTCCTAGGAACCACTGTATGTGGGAGGTAACACATAGCCAGCAAGGCTAGAAGCCACTGATAGCATCCTCCCTCATGAATTTTGCCAATACCCTTTTAAAGTCATCCACATTGGCAGCCATCAAATTCCACAGTTTAACCAAGCTCTGTATGAAGAAGTACTGCATTTTATCTGTCCTAAACCTCCCACCAATCAGCTTCATGGGATGACTTCAGGTGATCACTTGGCTTGCATTGGCTTACACTGGTGGCAGCTACTTTTGGAAGCTACA